TCCCATCGCTACCGCCGCAGCTTTCAAATCAGTCGTCCATTTCGTTACCTGGTGAGCGGTTGGGTCCCAGTTTCGTCATCCCACGTGTCGATCGATGCAGCGCCGTCCCCAACTCACGCGTCTTCTACATCCAACACGCCACGGAGGACAGGCAACCCCGCAGACGAGGTAACCCCGTGCGCGCTCGCGCCTGGCATACGCCGGCGACACCGCCACGGGGGGTTTCCGATATTGTCGGCCCCTAGGTTAAGATCTGGCTGGTTGTGCTCACCCCCTTGTGTTTGAGTTTAGGGATTAGTTGTGGATAAATGGTGGGCATTTTACACGTGTGATTTGTTTGATGCGGTGAGCCACAGCTCGGCTGTGGCTCCGGGGATATCTCATGTCATTATTGTTATTGTGTACTTTATAATCGTGCCTGGTGTGAAAGATCCGTAAGAAGGCTGGCACGACCCCGGGTAGTGCCTTGGTTATATGTACACGCCCCAACTGTCGATGGTTGGGAGTAGTCGAGTCGCAAGTGCCGAGTAACTTACTAAGCAGGCTGGTGGCAAGGGCCCCTACGTGTGTATAGAGTTCCCATGTGGCAGGCACTAGTAGCGTTCACACAGGTATGCCACCACAATAGTCGTTTCACCCTTTCACGGAAGGGACCCCTGGCTCCCCTCGCCGATGCAGGAGAGCCTAGATACACTGACGGTGGGAGCTGGGGGCCCAATCCGCGACACACGTCATGATTTTTTCTCAAAATGCTTCAAAGACCATGGCTGATGACGTGAATATAGCAGTTTGCGATCTCGAATTCTTTGGACTTCCTCCGAAAAGAAGGCGATACAAACACATAAGATAACGTTTCATTCTTTTCTAATGTCTCAAAAAACCTTTTTGTGTCTAAATTTTCTAGTCTTCTCAATAGAATTCCAGAATATTGCCAGCAACAGCGGGTTAGTCTGCACACCTCGATGTGACCTCCCCCCCCCCCCCCGAGAATGGATGGCGAATTTTGTGAAAGTTACTTGCATGAGCTATAAGAATGTGCAAGTGATTTGTTTATACTTGTAGATAGAAATAATTTTGAATTTATCTTTTTAACTTTTGAAACGCGATTTGCAAAACTTTTTTGCCCCCTCTCGCTCGAATGGAAATCATAGGATTGTCACTGGTATATGCTTCAACAGTCCCAACCCAAGAGTCATTATCGTGGATGAAGCTCGACTGATAGCTTTTGACTTTGCAGTGAAATAACTTGTTCTGAGGTAAACTGCTCGTAAAAAAGAGCTCCACACATATTTAGCTGGTCCCTGGAGATGTCTGAACAAAAATTGTTAACCAGATAGATGACATTCAAATTATTCTGGACGCGTGGAAGTTGGTTGACATTTTCTTTTGATTAAGTTTGACCCATAATTAGTGCGCCGAACGATACACAAAACTCGGATTGAACTACGCAAAAGTATGTTTCTATCACTAAGAATCCCACCTAGTTTTTCTCCTTCTTTCTTGCCACCAGTGCACTGTTGTCCGTCAGCAATTTGTTGATCTTTGGCACAGTTTATTTGCACGAAGGTACGAGTTGCGCTTTCGGGCAAAGCTTGTAACGAACCTTGCCACGAAATACTTGTGTTATCAGGTGTGACGGTGCTGTTTTATTATCAAATGCGCTTCACACAAGATAAAACTTGTCACTCTTTGTGCCAAAAATTGAACATCTTGACAAGGAGATTTTCGTAGTATTGGTAAATGTTCAAGAATCGCGTTTGAGGAAGGTAGTGTTTTTTCTCGCAAAGACCTGTTTGATTACTACAAAAGGCACCTCTTTGAATTCTGCGCTTCCGTTTCCGTTTTCTCACCAAAACTGCCGTAAACCAGGTGTACTATAAAGATTTTCTTCAAAGCAGTTCACATCATGCGTTTTCCTTGTGGAATCATTTACTTCAATCATCAGTCCAATCTATATTGGAATAATAAATTAAGCACCTAAAAATTTTAGCGGTTTTTTATTTTGTTAGTTTTTCCAATGGACTGGCACAAGCATTTAGCGCTTTATTTTACACAATTTTCGTGAAGCTGAGGTAAACAGCAATTATAGTTTTGTAAAATATCTCTGCAAGATTTCTTTTCAGTAAAATACAGAACTTTTTCTCATAGATAACCAATTCTTATCTAGATGCGCTGAGATTTTTCACTCCTAAACACGATTTATTTGTTATAAAAAAACTTTTGAGTCGCTAGCAAGCGCAAACAAATCACCTGCACATTTTTCGGAGTTTCAGCGCACACATTCTCCCTGACCTTTTGAGAGGACTGAAAAATGCAAGCTGAACAAATTATTTTGTTTTTCGAATGAAATGGAACTTTGGTTTCTTCGTTCATGCTGAATTATTCGTCTGATATACGTGGAACTATGGCATAACGTAGAAAATCTTTCATAGATTGCAACGTGAGCATAGAGACATCATTGTAAACATGTTCTCAATGTTCTGGTTCACATTGTAACTGGGTTAATGTCTCCTGTCTTCAATGGGTTAATCTTAACATTTTTTACCTGAATGTGGCACACTAGTGCGCCAGCACGAAGAGAAAAAAATGCGTAGGAGGGAAAGATTATTTAGCAATTCGACCTTTTGTAAACATTTGCTTCTGCACAGAAGAAAAACAGCGGTGATTTTGCTCTAAACCAGCACATTTTATTCCGAATTTGGTTAAATTGAGACCATATGTTGTCCTCTCCTATCAGAATTTTTCATGGCAAATTTAGCGCTTCACCTGCAATAATCAGCGATTGCGTTTCGAGCCGGTGTGACGAGCGCTGCAAAGCGTGTATGGGGTTCTTCTCGATAAGATCTGCATCAAACTGCCCGTTGCCGATATCTGATGTTTAAACATTTGTCGTTGGAGTTCTTGTCCTTTAGTCTTTTTTACGAGTTGCCAACCCTATAAAATATCGCTCCCCAGATCGCCAAATAGTTGCAGTTCACAACTGAACTTAGATCGTGATCCATTACTCACCCTTACTTGGCCGCCAATTGCAGTCACTTGTAGTTTTTTTCAGTGTTCAACCGATTCCCCAACTGCGTGCGAAACATTTTTATTGGCTATTTGCAAAGTTTATTTGTGTCTCAGCGCTACGATATTCAGCCTGGTTTTAAATTTGTGCAAAACTACCTCTTATCAAGTCTTGAAAGCGGTGTCTAAGCAGATTATGGCACTAAGGTGGACCTTTGAGCGAGAAATTCTTCTAAAAACTGGAATATCCTGCATTTACCCCATGTTACAAAGCCTGAGGCGTGTTGAGACGTAGGCAGTTGCGTGCCAATGGCAGCGACGCAACACTTTGCCAGCGCTGTTGCTATTGGCTGCCGCGCCCGCCGATACCCTTTCAGGAGGCGGGCTGAGCGGTTGTTCAAAGCTAAAGCGATATTGTGCAACTAAATCCTGAAAGTAGCCTGGTTAAAGGATCCAACATGAGATTTGGCACAATCCATCTTTTTTTACGAAAAAAAAACAAGACAAAATTTTTTTGCGAAGTGTTCAGCTACGCATGTCGTTTCTGTAAGCATCCAAAAATTTCTCTTGCACTGAGATGTTACGAAAAGTAGCACTTCGCAAAAAAAATTTTGTCTCGTTTTTTTTCGAAAAAAAGATGGATTGTGCCAAAACTCATGTTGGATCCTTTAACCAGTTTTTTTCCTAGCTTATAAAAATGAGATTATTGCGAAAATTTCAGATTCATTCATAGTATCTGCAAAAATGAAACCGAGTAATTTGCTGATTCTGAAGGTCGTATAGATCGTACGGCATATTTGGAAGGTCGTGCCTTACAAATATGCCACTTTTTGGAAGGAAAGACATTTTTGCCTCCTGAGTTTGATTTTTAGCAGCTTCGCGGTTTTCATTCGCATCTTAGTTTCGTGAAGTTGTTCATTTCCACATAGTCTTTTCAAAGCCTCCATCTTCTCGTAGATTTCTTTGCGATTATGTGTCAAGTATATGTAAATAATAGTGACGTAATATTTTTCTCGGCATTGAGAACATGGCAGTACAATAGTTTCAATGTATGATCGCATGTTGCATTCTTGTAACACCGCTGTATTCGGCCATTTTAAGGTTTTTTTCACATTGATGAACAGCCATTATACATTTTTCTTTGTCTTGCCGAAGGGCGGAACTTGTTCAAACATGCTCTATATATACCAGTTGCTTTGCTAATTTGCACTAAAGAACGAGACACATCCATTTGGCAAAGATCTCGTCCTTAGAAAGTTCAAAGCTCTCGCTGTCTGCATATCTTTATTGTCCTAAAATCACTACTCAAAGTACATCTCCCTATCGAACATATTTTAAGCAATTCAAAGCACTAGCGGCTATCTTGTTTATCAAGGAAATGTATTTTGAATCCTGTACTCAAAGTACATCATCCAATCAAACATTCTGAACAGTTTTGGACCGCATCATCTTGATTACGGAGTTGTATGTTGATCTACGCAATTTTTCAGCCATAATAAAATTAGCGATTTATTCAAAGTGGAGTGTCTTTGAGCACATTTTAATTTTTTTTTATTCATACCATCGTATTTGTACAGCATGAACGCAGTTTTTTACTGATGTTCAAGTAATGCATGCATGCTGCGTGTATTTGTGCTAACTTGGCTTTGTGTCAAACTTATAAAACCAACTTACCTTGTTCGTTTTCTTATAGTAATTTTATCCTGCCTTTTCATGGAAATGTTGTCGATAATCCGAAATGCAAACGAAAAGTGCTTATTTAGCCTAAACTTTGTTTACGCTTTCTTTTTTTCGTGCTATGGGCCTCATATTTCGTTTGCAATAAGCCCAGCATGCAAAAAGTTGTTGATGTGTCCGGTACATCTCCAGAATTAACTTTATCTAATCAACTGAGAGTTCTTGTTCTCACACGCTTACAATGTTTCTACTTCAAATGATTTCTTTGAACATTTTTTTGCGCAGTAAAAGTGCTTATTTTGACCCACTATCTTGAAATTTTAGCGGTAGCGCAAAGACAGTTCAAAGAAATCCATAATGCCTTACCTCTGCTATATGGCCTATCTTCTATCGACCGCAACGATAGCAGGTGGATTTTTCAATCTCTCTGATATAGATATGGGAACTGTTGCAAAATCATACCATAACAACAATAACTCTGTCGTCGCCTACTGCGCCAAGGTTTGTTGTATCATGTCATCTTTTCGCGTAATTTTTATGAGATAAAGTTACCTCTTAGAGTACAAAGAATTTAGCATACTATCAAACAACATCCTTTACAAGAAGAATTGACTAACACAACTCTAGAAAATGCTCCACATGCTAGAATGCTAGGAGCTCCAGAGGTGGGTAATTTGCTTGGCGAAAATTTCTTAATAACATCTAACAACCCTTTTGTTTCTGCTGCATCATAGTAATTTAGTATACCACCATTATTTCAGGTATTAACGCTTGGAGAAAACTTTATTCACTTGATAGGAGGGAAAAAAGCCCTTGATATAGGAACATTTACCGGTGCGTCCGCTTTAGCATGGGCCCTAGCTACTGGTGAGGGCGGAAAGGTAAGCGAATATGCACATATAGGCTAATAGTTCTGACGTAAAATACAGTGTTCGGGGCTCATATCTCTCGACAACGTTTGCGCTTGAAAGGGTGTGTCTGTAATGCCGGCAATTTGCGTGTGCAAAATGGCCGTAGAGCGCAATTTTTCAAGTTCAGCGCTACTATTTGATCTATTCACGTGCAAGTGTTGTCAGCAAATGTCGGCACCACACTGACCGTTTTTCGTCAAATCTGCTGGCTTACATGTTACAATTAGTTCTATTGTTTAGGTCTACACTTTTGACGTATCCTTTGACAATTACAAGAAATTCGGTCTTCCCATCATATCGAAGAACAAAGAAGTCCTTGATCGTATTGTAACAGTAGAGGGTGCTGCACTAGACAGCTTAGGTACTTTTGATAAGATTACTTCAGAAATTTTAGCATAAAACATTTTTTAGACCGATTGATTGCTGAAGGAAATAGCGGCACTTTCGATTTTGCTTTCATCGATGCTGACAAGGTCCATTTTAATTAGATTTTTTTGCCGCGGTTTCATCATCTATATATTTTCAGTTCAACTATACCGCCTACTACGACCGGTGTGTCACACTTTTGAGAAAGGGCGGTGTCATAATGATTGATAATGTAAGCAGTTTTTTGTATCGCAAGCTCCTAGCACTATACACAATTTAGTTAGGCACTCGTTGAGATATTTTAGACCTGAAAATATGTACTTACTAGCTGGCTTACCCGGCTCCGCCGTATGTTCCAAATAGAAAATTCCATTTCTTAACCGATCCGGACCAAACTTGGCACACATACACTTCGGGCCCCGGCGGGTGTCACAGTCCACTTTTCGTTATCGATCGATGCCGATTTTATCAATTTTTTGCAAAATTTGAGCTAGGGGGCTGGAATTTGGCAGAGGGGTGTAATCGAGCATGCTGATCACCCCCACGGGGTTCCATTTCTGAACCGATCGGGTCCCGATCGGTTCAGAAACGGAATTTTCTATTCGGAACATACGTACACACAGACAGACAGACATACAGACAGACAGACAGACAGACAAACAAACAGACATTCAGCTTTGTATATAAGATGTAACGTGTCTTCTGATAGAGGGATCTTGTTCTTTCACTTGTGAAAGAACAAGGTACATTTTTTGAATTTTGAATTCTTGCAGTCTTGCCAGAAGAGCTATGCTTGGCGAACAGGCTTCGAAATTCTATCAGTTTTCCCTGATCTGTGAAATTAGGTATCAGCAAATGAAACAAAATTTGTAACCTGACTGGATTGAAATTACCTAGTTGGCTCTAAAGAGATTTTCGATAAGTTTGACTTCATTCGCCTCAGATCTATATCTATAAAAAAGCAAAAAGAGGGTTTGCACATAGTCTTTTTCTTTATTGAAGGCTCTTTGGCATGGAAGTGTAGCCGAAGATCCCTCCACGTTCGACAACCACACTAAAGCAATTGATGATACCAACAAAATGGTGCGCATCTTTCTTATAGATTCCCTTTCTTACTCCCTTAGCTTGAATTTGACTTGTGTTTATTTCAGATTTACAACGACGATCGTACGTACTCGGCTCTAATCAACACCGGTGACGGAACACATATCGCTTTCAAGAAATAATCGGGTTAACATCGTGCTGCCACTTATGCTTTCTAGAGATTCAATAAACTATTTATTAACGTCATTTGTAGCACAATTCTTATCTGTACATGCTCTTGACTTTTCAGAGAATTGTGAAAGCACTTATATTAGATTTTATCGTTTTCTAGTCACTTTCTGCATATCATGTTTCCTTATCTTGTCATCAATTTGTATTCTATAATCTAACTTCCTCTCCTAATTCATCCATCTCAGAAAGCAGCACTTTTGGTTAGGAAAAAATGTGTTTTTATTGTTGAACTGTAAGCACGTCTTGAGCGCGACTTTGAAATCAGATCGTTCCATAAGTCGTGGAGTTTTTATTCAACAAAATGACAAAATTTTAGCAAAACTTAGTCAATAATGCATGTTCGGTTTTTGCGCAACCTTCTGCCATCATGCAGTCAGATTTTCAGCTCCGTTTCTCAAAAACCCGGTGAATCTGGTTCCAGAAATGTTGGCTAACCAGCGTCTGAGATCGTCTTCAAAATCAAAACATACGCTGTTCATATGATTTGTGATAGACTGAAACAGATTATAATATGCTAAGGCGAGATCTCAGGAGTACATTGGATACTAATGTACCTCACGGCCATTTCTTGCAGGATAGTCATGACGACAGTTGCCGTAAAGGGCTAAGTTTTGTCGCGCAGGAAAGCTGGACCTGTTCATTAGGCCCTCTCTGCAGTATAAATTCGTTTAAACGGTACAATCGAGTTACGGTATGGATATCGTCTTGCCCTCATCTAGAAAATGCTAGTGCAGAACCTCCTTTCCATCTTGCAAAAAGTCTAGTTCAGGAGTCACCTTGTGAACTATTGGGATTTTGTGGCTACTTCTTTTTTGTCTCTAATTGACGAGAAGACGCCATTTCCCATGGTCGGCAGAAAAATCTGCACAAAACGCTTCTTTGATAAGAAGAAAATGAACAAGTGCCGAAAATGCTTATTTTCGCTTTTTGGGAAGTCCTTATTTGGAAGCTAAGGAATTAGAGCAACGGCTTTTCACCTAAAGTAATAATTCACTTTAAAGGGTATAATCAGCTCTTCTCATTGATGTACGAATCTTGCTGCAAATCAACCGCTCCTCATAGAGATGAGAACCAGAATGAAGACTCTACGAACTTATAAAACGACCTAATAGTTTGCTGTTCCTCAGTGATTCACGTAGAAACTGAATAGCTAATTCTGGCAGGTCTTCCTGAGAAGTCGATTCGTAGTTGTAGTTTGCATGCAGGAAACAAAGAGCGGGGTAAAGTCGCGAGATAATGAAGATGGATTTATGCCTCCAGCGGTTCCAGCAGCAACAGAAATGGAGAGTTGGTATAACTGTCTAAACTCCAAGGAGTAACATAGTTGGCGTTGAGCGGACAAGTGGTCGCTTAAAGGCAGTGCCACGGCATATTCGCGCATTGCGGGATATAGTTGTGGTGGGGTTCCTGGTCATCCCACTAGCATCCGGGTCCAGTCCGGCTGGTTGGTGTTAACCCTGAACCGAGAAAGTAGCCCTCAAACCGTCACCCCATTCGCCCGCGCTCGGACAACTTCGCTTTCCTGTTCGTCGGGGCACCCCACGACCGCTCCCGCGTTGTGCATGCTATCCAAAGCAAAAATTGAAGGCGGCGGGATCTTCCTGCCAGCTCCCTCCAACTTTTCATTGCACTCGTCCGAGCTGCCTTTTTTTGCGTAAGGCCCCAAGAACGGTCTTTTCACCTGGTTCAAAGCTCAAATTCGGATTCTACGTGTCGAAAAGGTCTAAAATATTCAGTAAAATGGAGATGCAAAATCTGCCGGGGCACTGCCTTTAACAAGCGTAAAGATAGATGCAAACAATTCTCATGAGCCACCTTGATGACCACATCTTCGATTCCATTGCATAAGGCATGCCAGAGCGGACATTACTGAGATGTGGGAGAAAGGCGAGAAGGAGGTGGAAAATGCCGCAGATGCCATGAATACGGAACATGCAATGAAGAAAGTGACGCATTCTGGAGTTCGTCTCAACTCATGATCTAGTCTGGCGAACACATACCACATTAAGAAGAATGACTGACAAACTTAGGCAGACTCGTGGGCTGCCCGACAATGGGAACCAAAAATGTAAAGGACTGGAAAGTCATTTCCGAAAAACAGCGGACTCAACACGGACCACTACTTCTCAAAGTCAGAATCTCAATGGAAAGGCACATCAAATAACTGCAGAGACCAGGACTAGCATCAAATGGTGGAAGTTGAGAATCTACGACGCGGCAAAGCACGCATCAGTAACAACTCTCACGCACTTGCAAAAAAAACCCAGAGCAATCCTGTGCAAGCATGAAGGATCGAATTAACCAATTGGCACACATGGCCATGGGTACAAGGCTAAGAAAAATAAAGATTAAAAGAGAAACGCGGTGGTGGAACGATGAAGTACAAAAGGTGATAAAGGACTACAGGCGATGACAGGCACCAATTACTTCCACATAATCATTTGGTAAGATAATGGCCAAATAAAGCCATGATCCAAATTCTACCGGCGTCCGTCTATCGCACGAACTCGCCTTAGCAAGCCTCCCTATGCAACCTTTTCACAGGCTTCCATCTGCTGGGATGAAAGTTTCTAGATATTCAATGTCGTGTTTTGCCGATGCTATCGATGCGTGTGACTGCTGAGAAATTCCCATTTTCACAGAAACTGTGGTGGCTACAGGTTTTATTGTAGCCTTAGGCGGATGGGTGGCGCCTGTAGTAGACTATGGTGGCTCCTGGTGTGTTAACAAAACACGTAAGCTATTAGAGCTTTATTGAACAGACGACATGCACCCATTCGTGCAGTGGTAGAATGCTGACAATCATGGGCGGAGTTAGGTAACATAACAAATGTGCAAGCAGGAATATACTCATATCACAGCAGGTCATGCTTATAGCATGACGTTTACGGTGCTTAGAAGAAGCAATGATAAGTTGCAAAGAAGGTGCCGACAAAGTCGGCACAGAAACTAAATTCTTGCAGAGGAAGGATATCTGCGGCCACTGTCACTCATAAAGATGTAATAACTATGAATGCACATTCGAATGATGATTCAAAACCTGTACTATTATTTGCGAAACGACTGCTGAAAGTTACGGTATTTTTTCTAGAGTAAATTGCGCTGTTACTGAGGCTCAGAGTTATCAAGACGCGATTTTCTTGCGCTTTCCTGTATAAAATTCGACTGAATCGCTCGTGGTTCTTCGGTATCTTGTCCTAATGATGTTGCGTCGAAACAGGTGAACCGTGCAATATTATGTACTTAGTTAGATTACCTATGAATTGTGCAAATGTTACCTAAGAAACGTCCATATTCAGAAAAGTGTCTTGCAGGTGATAAGTATGATATCATCATCGGCCTACAGAAATGAACCCAGTGGCATAATCTTATTCAAATAACCAAGATCACGTAGTATTCGCGCAGAGCAACGAACACCGCCATTCGAATACCGCGTTCTCGGATTCTGGTCCTCCATAGCGTTACCGAAAGAACCAGTAGTCGGCGAAGGCGGCGCTCACTGTTGTATTCCTCTCTCTACTCTAATATTCCTCTCTTGTTAGTCCAGCTTTAACCCCAACAATTCTAGTCTGGTCCTCCTGATCCACATCGCCCGTGTACAGAAGCTTTCATAGAAGCCTCTGAGCCGTACTCCTTTTCCATGGATACCTTATCTTCATGAGGAAATAAAAATGTCCTTTTACAAGTTTGTTGTGGGCGGCAACCGTCTCGTTGGGTTTTTTTCCGCTGCTCGACTTTTCCATGGAAATTCCGTCTTCATGAAGAAAGAACAACGCCAGTGGACATGGAATTCGCAGAACTCAACAACTCAGGCGAAAATTGACAATATGTCCAACATCCGAAGGTGGAGCTTGCTCGCTTCATTTTAAATAGTCTTTTCCTTGATGACAGCTTCGACCAATTTCTCCCTCGAGCAAAAGTACAACTCATTCAAAAACTGAAAATGAAGGTCTGCGAAGGCCTCGCAAGAAGAGAAGAGGTTGTTCCTGATGGTCACAGGCCGAAGGAGCTCATCAAGTTATGGGCCATCGAAAAAGACTCAACGTACGACTAGGACCGGCTTCTAAAAAATTGCAAGCCAGCGATATGCCTCAACGATTAGTGAGAAAGACTTGAAACGCATTTCGATGAACACCAAGATATTGCTAGAGAAGAGGAGTTTGAGGTGGGATCCAAGTGCAACTCATTTCGAGCGACTAATAGCGAACGTCAGTTGCAAAAAAGCTTTTCAAGAGGATCAGTACAGGCAAGTGAAGATACAAGCAACGGTACCACTGGCAGCATTACTGAACGAAGGCGTGGTCCCCAATGGAAGATACTACCAGGATTCTAAATGCCGGAAGGCTTTCACACAATAAGGAAGTCCCGAAACTGATTACAATTCTGCGCGAATCGGATGACACCGTCTACAAAAGAGTTTCGCGTCGCACCTAACATCTTGCTAAAAGGAAGGGATTTTCGACCAGCGGGAAACTTTAGAAACCGCCTCTCTTCGAAAAGGGCGAACGGGAGAATCTTCAGGTTTAATATTCAGTATGTTTGCTGAGCTACAAACTTTTCACGAAGAATTAGCTCGCATAACAAGTGAAACCAGCTTCAAGAACAAGCTGATTTCGCAAAGGATTTACTGCTTGGGCCACATGCAGACCGTCGGCGGTTATCCGAATTTTGCCGAAAGCACAGCTTCTCGTCCCATTCCCTGTCATTCTGACGTAGAAAAACTACATGAGGACTGCTTGAGCCATCCTGCAAGGTCATACAAATGGCTTCTTGTCAAAATTAAATGAAGAGAATGGATGTACGTCTTTCCGCTCATTTTTAGCATTAATTACTCCGCCTCTTACAATCTAGCAGAGTTTTCAGTTATTTTTATTCAAAAGCGAACGAGTACATCTCCGAACAGTGATAGAGACATGTTTCCCTTACGAGGACAAAAATTTAAAAAGCTTGAGTTTTTTTTACTCGTTGTCTCCTGGTTTCCCCTCTCTCTCTCGGTTTTTCCATCCGTCGTAAATTCTGCACGTGTAACTGAAAAACGTATTTTAGTTGACGTGTGAGATTCTCGAGCTTTGAGTGAAAAGAGCGCCTGCGTCTCCAACGATAGCCTGGCTTTCTTGCGGCAGCGTCGACCAATCAGAGGAGCGCAGTAATTAGGCTGCTAAGGCTAACGGTGCAGAAGGGCCGTCTCTTCCCGTATAACTACTGCGATGCAAACATACTCTTTTTCAACATTGTATGGCGTAAATCACCTTAAATTTTTTTGTCAGCTTTTGGCAAGGCGTTTGCATACGCCAAAGCCAATTTACTCTCTCCTTTGAGAGTGACTTTCTTGACAGCTTCAAGTTGCAATGACACTCTTGAAGAGCAAAAATTGAGTCATAACTAGCAAGTGACTTAGCACTCAGAAAGAGGAGCCTTTCCTGCCAGAAAGGCACTTTTTACAATTAACACGTTGACGACGAGCCATTTTTTGAAGGTCTGTCCCTGTGGACGAACCGTTTCCCGGCACTTTCACAGCTGGCTGCATGTATATATGCATGCATCTATGCGTGAGATACAAAAATGCAGGTGGGCGGGGCGGCTCCGCCCACTTTTGGCAAGTCCCGCCCACTTTTAAAAAATGCTGGAAACTGCCCAAAATCAATGAATTCGTGCAAATTCCGGCATTTTTGAAAAGTGGGCGGGGCTTGCCACTCAGGGGGCGGAGCTTGCCACTTAGGGGGCGGAGCTTGCCTGAAGGTGTGCGGGGCCTGGCTGATAGTTGTTTGAGGTCTTTGCGTTCATTTACGGCCTCATCCATGCTTTTTATGAACAAAAATGGCTCTTGTGGGAGGCATAGAAGTGGGCGGAGTTTTGCCAAAAGGGGCGGAGCTAATACAGGAAGTATATCTGAGCCTATGTTGATTATATGAACAAAAACTGAGAGGATTGGACAGATAGTGTTGAAATTAAGGCCGCCGCGCACCATTGCGCGGCACTGTCGTCAACGTGTTAAGGAAGTAGATGCCGCCAAGATTACACGTGTCCAAAAATACCGTTTTAGAACCTAAATTTGAAATTTCCTTGCTGATACAAAACGATTATCATGAATTGATATCATTCTGAATCTTTTATCCTTTCCTTCTGCAAATGAAATCCTGTTCATTTAAAACTTCAATCAATAAACTCGTTGAAGTTTAAGTGGCCAATATGAGAAAGGATATTGACTTTGGTATAAGAAAAGGAACAAGGCGATAATTTTCGTAATATGACTCCAAAGCAAACTATATGTTTTCTGCAAACGGAGGACAAGGCGATTTCAATGACATTCTTCAAGTTGTTTTAGCTGCTCATCCAGCTGCTTATAGGGTTTTTCGACCTGGATACCTATAACTTTTTGCACCTTTTAACAAATACCGTGAACAATTTGACCCATATAAATTATTTATTTTCTAGAGACAGATCAAAGCGGTTCTGATGATTTTCTTATCACTGTCGCTGCTGTTCATATGCATAAGTTTTGTCTCCTCAAGCTCACCAGACGGAAACCTTAGTCAAAAATTTGTATGGCGCAATAATGAAAACAGCAGAGGATATTTTTTATCCCGAATATCCCAATGATTGCACCCATTTACTTCAGCTTACGAGTTCTCCAATCATGTTAATAGGTTCCATAATGTCTAATCACCCTCATTTTCACTGCATTGAGCTTTGATTCTGGTTATGCCCTTGTTAGCCACAGCACATTGTTTTATATGCTTTTTCTAGGATAAATGGATTAATCGTTTCGAAACAACGTTTTAGTTCGCACTATCCTCTGCAAGGGTTCATCTCATCAATTATGGATTTAAGCAGAGCTTCTTGTCCAACATTTGGCATTATGATTGTGATGTGGTATACAAATGTGCATAAAAGTTTGATTTTCAATAAAACAGAAAAAATTACGCATTTTCCGAAAATTGGTGGAGGTCTTGCGGTCTTCGATGTCTTGCGCTTCCAGGGAAGAATAAACTAAATACGAAACGATTTAGCCCATGAAGCTGAAACTGTAAAAATGCTACTAAAGACTGATTACTATGCCGAGAAAAAAAAAGAAATAAGTTAGAGACAGATCGATGCGCCCCCGCCCCTTCCTTTAGGAACCTGTGAGTGCTGGATAGAAACAGAATTTTAAAATTGTTTCAGAGACTACATTTGGCTTGCTGAACAAAAAAGTCAAACTATAAAAGAAGCCTACAACGCAGAGAGAGCACTGTTTTTTCAAACGAGAGAGCAGATGGGCAATGCAGCCGAGTTTGATCCGAATCTGTAACAACCTCTAACTTCTGCCTTTTTATATACTTCTGTCCGTATTTTTACGTTATTCTCAAATGTGATGGCTATTCTGGCAGACAAAGGCTGCATTTGTACATTAATCAATCCCAATTGATCCTGTTTCGCCTCTATCCCTAGACAGGGAACTGTATAAGACCATTCCCGAGGCTCATCAGTAGGGAGGAGTGGCTGAAGAAGGAGAAGAGTGATGACAAAATAGCGGGCTCGCCTTTTATACCTGTGGGGTACCTCAAATATATCAAAGGCCAAAGAATTAGATCGTACTGCAGATTGTATTAGAAAAAAGGTTTTTGACGTTTCTGAAACTGCTACGTCGATTATACTATGCAATACATTTGTTGAATGTAAAACATTTAGATATCCTGGCTGTATTATTTCCTTGTCATAGTTAAATTTAAGTAATAGCCTAGTCAGGTTTTTGATTCTATCATAAAAACCTTCAAACACACTGCAAATTCTGTATATACTTAGAACTTCTGTGTAAATAAAAACGCATTTAAGCATAGAGCTTGTGACAAGACCCATGGCAAAGCATGATTACTTCAAAGTCAAAATCATCTGTTTTGTTACACTGTTTAGTGTTTATACCTAATAAAAATGTGGATTTCAAGGAAATAGCATTCATACTTTGTAGGATTTCTAGTCGCCAAATTCAAAACATTATTATAGACTTTGTCCAGTAATGATTTTATAAAATCTTGGGTTTTATCATGGATGATTAGAATATCATCCATATATCGATATGCTTGAAAGAGAAAATTTGGATTTTGTACGTTGTAGGCAAAAGTATACTCAAAATATGAGAGAGTAGAATCTGCAATCATTGGGCTAGCATTACCACCCTGAGGTACTCCAATTTTCTGATTAAAAATTGGTTTCCCACTCTCACTACCTCACAATAATCGATGTAGATAAAAGTAAATTTCCAAAAACTGGGGCTGAAAATTCAGAAAGGAAAAAGCTGTCGTCAGCGTACTACTTGACATTAGACTTCTCGGGGAGTTTGCTCATTCTGCTTTCCGGGAGATAATGGGTGATCGAAAGGGGAATGCTATTTCGATTGTAATCAAACATTCTCTTTTTACAGTTTAACTGATTGAGGACGAGTGCGGTAGTGGTATGAGGCGCAGCTATGAATCAGGTCGAAACCAGATTCGATTCACCCGTGGGCCAACCAAGCCCTCTTACCTCAAGGGACGCTGAATTAGTACCGCACGCAAACAGTGGCCTCTTCGACCATAAAGTAAAATGTGTTTGGCGAATGCCCTCAGAAAGTGTTGAGTATGCCGAATCCTTTATCCTTTAGCCACTTGATTACTATACGTTAACACCCCCTTTCGTACTTCCGCTGCTCCAATACCTTCCAGCAGATTTTTCTTCTACTCGCTCCTGCACATCAATCTTCTTCAGCAATTTCTACTGGGTCCAGCACCGGGGAACATCGTCTGTGTCACTGTGTGGTTTGTAGCGAATACCTGTGACACTCCTCCAACTGTAGTTTGCACCTGTTGAACAGAAATGTAGGCGCAAAACCCAGTGAGAAGGGAGGGAGGAGCGGCCTGTGTTTGCGAACTAGTGATCTCGTGTACATCGGCAACAACAGCTTGTCCCTTCTCGGAAACTCTTTTTCAAACGTTGATTGTACTATTAATTAAATTATCTGGCTATTCAGATAAAATACTATGTATTCCTTTCCTCTCAATTTAACTAGCAAATATTCATCGTCTTATAGAAATTTTCCTGTGCCTTGAGTGAAGCATCTCAGCATCTGATTAATCGCAAAGCTCCAGAAACTCTGTTTATCAAAAAATCGCCCTCACTGGGGAACTTGCACACGCTTATCTATATCACTTATTTACCTCCTTATCTACAATTCTTATAAAAAGGCAAACAACATATTGAACTAATATTCTTTTTCCCGTTTTCGTCATAGTTGAACGACACTGCTTGTGCCAATCTTTATAAAATTCTTTGAATTTAGCGGGCAAAGTTTGCGCACTGGGATTTGACAGACACTTTTGATGCCAGAATAGAATCTTTCAAAAATCCTATCTGCGACGAAAATTTACAGTATTCAAATTTTGATAAATAAGTACATTCCAGAATTTTTTGGGTACAGAAATCAACTCCACAGATAATTGGCATTGTATAATTGCCAAGAGAATGTATGAAGACAACTGCACCTATATTCCGCTTCCGGATTTATTTACTCATTACGCAGGTATACTTCTTCAAGTACATAGATTACTCTATGATGTTCATAGAGAGCATTTGTCTCCATGTGCCATTTTCCAAAGGAAACTTGCGCATCATTGATCATTTAGGCAGAAAAAACAATGAACTTTCCGAGCAGAACGAAAGAGAAAATGCCTGGGAGACAAACTTAGACATAAAGCGAAATAAGACTTTTTTGTAGTTCTTGCCGCATTTTTGAGGGGTTTTTGAAAAACAAAAGAATACGAAAAACTACTTTCTTTACTACTAGACACAATCCTAAGTTCGCTTTCAAATAATATTCTACATTTCATTTTTCCAGGGCTCACCGATTCTCAATATGCTCTGCTTGTTATTGGTGCAATTCTTGTAACCGCAGTACTTGCTCTTGGAACTGTGCATTTGATGTATGTATGGAAATACGTCTCTGATGAAAGAATTAGATCAAAACTTTACATTCTGGCTCTTCTCTTTCCAGTAAGTAGAATCATCATGATTTTTGTAGAAACTGCTGTGGAAAGAATTTGCTGTCGAAAACAAAGAAATGCCACTGGATTTCTAAGGTAGAAATTTGACTTCTGATAAGCTTTTTCTAGATGATTGTCGCGCTTTCTATAATTTCGATGGTTTCTCCGCGTAGTAGTCCACTTCTGACGTCTGTCGGACTTCTATACATCCAATACAGCATGTATACAGCGATATCACTAAACAGGTATATAAGTTTGACTATGCAACTGGCGAAATTCGATTATTGATGCAAAGAGGATTACAAGGGTGAGACGAAAGGGTCGACAACCAAAGCTCGTGACACAATCAGGACTGGCCTTTGGGCTAAAGGCTTAATCTTTATACATTTTTGTCAAGCTACCAACTGAACAAAAAAAAACAGCCAATTTTTATGGAGAACAAAAAAAAACGTTTTACTAGACTTACTATGGAAAATTTATATACTTTCAATAAATGCAACAATTCGCGAATTCAATTACCACCAACGTACAAATGAGATTAGCATCCTTATCTGTAGCAAAAAAAGCTACTTGTATGCCTGCTTATCTTTCACGGCTGTCACGCATTTTCATAACGAAAAGTACGAAAGTTCATTTGGCTATTTTGATGATGAGTAAACCTGACATCAACTTTTTTATCAGTTTGATAGAAAACCATTCATCATTTCACGATGGTAGCCCAAGTTGATGTTTTATTGAGATATGCAGTAAATGAGTTCCAAAGATCGATGAACCATATAGGCTTATTCAAAAATGCAATGTAGCACTTATAAAATGAAATTTCAATGTTTTCTTCGGTAGTCCAGTAGATCTATTCTCAACATGGCCAAAGTCTTCACATGCATCAGAGCATCGCTTCAAATAATGCTTTTCCAAACCATAGTACGCGAACTTATACTCAGAAATGCGAAGAAAGAGGATACTCAATAATAGGAGTAGAGTAACGAATACCGACACTTGGCGCTTTTGCGGACTACTGGTCCTCATATGGCATGCAATAGCATGTGCGAAAGGGCGAGTTGTTCACGGGTGGCGCTTTTTAGCGGTATCGTTCCTCTACCCTTGTTAATCTGTTGGAAGACATCAATTAATTGTCGAAAAAAAATTTTACTTTCAGGATCATCCTAGGCGGTTATGAGCGTTTTTCATCCATGCTCAACGACGAAAAAGTTATGATGAACTTCCAAGTTCCGCCATGCTGTTGCTGTATGCCCTGTCTGCCAAAGCCGGCTCCTAGCGCGTAAGCTACATAAAACAACTTATACACACTTTTAAGGATAAAACAAACTAGATATAGCCCAATCTAGGCAAAAACTCAATATAATGGAATGTCTGTCATTGCAAGGTACGATTGTGCGGGTCATCATTGTCATAATCAATTGCCACCTCGTTTCCGAGTTTCCGGAGCAAACACAACAGTGAGTCAAACAAGAAAATTCTAAAAATGGTGAAGATTTTAGGTTCCAGCGTCGTGCCCAAGGAATCACCACATATTGAATTCAAGCTTCCCAGGCACAGTTCCGGCACGACGCTGGAACGGCACTGGCACCCAGGCGCGGCTTTTTGATGAGCGCAAGATGCCGAATAAAATACATATATCATAATCTTCTTTTACAGTCTTCTACTGGTCACCGAGCTGGCCGGCATACTCTCACTTCTTTTCACATTATTTGGTTCCCATGCTATAGGCAAGATAACAGGGGTAAGTCGACGCATCAAAGATACACTAGGATTTTTCCGTATTCTCCGTGTTCCAGCCTTATGTGCAACAATACAGGAGCATTATATTGTTCCGCTTCACTGATATCTCATTGGCACTATTCACTGCGCAACTGCCGCTTATATTTGATCTTATTTTTGTAAAATATGGTGTGATAACAAGTGGACCTGTACAGACAGCACTTGGCAATGCTAAATGTTAGCAAGCAAACCAAGAAGAGATGTAGATCAATGAAAATTCTCCTTACAGACTTGAACAGCTTCGTTCTCATTTGCGAAGCTTTCTTGCTATCGATTTTGGCTTCGTTGTTGATGACTCCAAAGAAGTAAGTATTACACATAAGTCAAAATAATTCGATCTATGAAGTCGCACATTCACTGATAGCCATTGCGAGTTGGTAGGGATTATCTACTAGATTCAAATAAATTGTGTTCTTGTGTCACCGACAACATTTGCGCGAAGAATGCCATGCTTGTGACTTGCGCGTATAAGTGGCTACAGAGCGCGCATTGCCTCTCTCCACGTGCAAATGTTGTTAGCAACGCAAGAGCACTATAGTTAGTTAAATCTTCTATCGTGAACACCGAAAGTCAGAATAAACAGTCTTTGAAAGATGCCATATCCTTCAACAACTCCAGGCTTTAGCATTTACTTAGACGCTAACGTTATCCTCTCAATTTGGCCAAAAGTGTCGGCAAAATGCATTACAAAACGATTTGTGCAGAATAACTCTCAGTAACAGTACATAGCAGTAGCCGAAGTTCTCGAAATCTAAAACTTCATAAATTCGAAAAACAGGACCTTGTCTTCAAGGCACTACGCGATAAAAACTCGCACTACAGGGTGCGGCAAAAGTCTGGGAGCCTAACTCTGCAGTGCTGCAATTACAAAGATACTGATGGTTTTGATTTCAATTTTATGCCACATGATGCTGCGGTCATTTTCTACAAAATACACTTTATTTGGCTGGAGATGGCTGCCCTATGTTTTTGTAAGAATGGAAGTTACCAAGCTGGTACTTTTGCAAAGTGAAAAAACCAGAATTTTTGGTATTTACAATTTTTGCTGTAGCGATGCTGTTAATATTTTACAAAACTTCGATGCACACAACATAGAAGAGGCTTTGCGCTATTGCATCCTAGTTTTGCTTTTGCCAGGAGCTGTTCTTGCATGAACGAAAAATAAAAGTTTGCGAATGTTACCTACGTGCCAGTGAAAATCCGTCTTCAGAACAAATTTAAAAGCTATAAAATGCTCAACAGGCACTGGAACCAAAGCTGTATTTTTTGCATACGTCTTCTAAATTAGAATCTATTGAAATTCGGCCATGAGAACACTTTTTATACTTTTTAAACGATATTTTTGAGTTTATATTCGTGCAATTGTAGCCAAAATTCCGGTATGCGACGACACATGCTTCTAATTGAAAATCGAATATTTTTATTCCTAAGCAATGCAAAAAATTCTTTTGGAAATATGTTGTAGACAAAAGTTTGCTCTATAATGCTGCGCATTTGGCAAGGTAAAAAAAACAGTTACTGTGAAGGCGTGGGGCGAATTCCATTACGACCACCTGCGTGCCATCACAGGTGGACTTGCCAAGAATTTGTAAGGCCGTGTGGAAACCAAAAGAGGCAGTTTTGCAATTCAAGAACTAGGCTGCATCTGCAATGGTTCGAATTATGTGTGCGCCAAATTTTTCTTTTTTAGGTACTTCCCTTCTCGTTTTGTACGAAAAAGTACTAGGCTCCCAGACTTTTGCCGCACCCTGTAATTTGCGACTCTATGAGGACCTGATTCTGATTTTTCCTTTTGCAGAAGCGCTCTCTTCGACAAATATCCGCAACGCTTGGACCTGTCGAGCCCAAGAGAGAAGATCCTGCCAAAACAATGATGCCGGAACAACTTCAGGATTCTTAATAAACTTTTATTTCACAATCTGATAGTAATAAGTAGAAGTGCTAGGCTGCCAACTTCTGACAGGATAGTTCACTCCCAATTTGCATATGTGCACAAATCTGCAGTGCCTAGAGAAAAAATAAATATACAACCTCTTCTTCTGTCATGGACCCAAGAGCAGATAAGTAAAGAGAGTTCCAGAGTATTTCAGAAAAACACTGATCTAAAGAGATCAAGTTAAAACGATGGCAAAGAGAAGGCAAATCTGACATATGCGGAAGACACAAATCTTGCACAAGTTTGAGCAAATTTACACCACGTAGTAGAGGTACTGATTAATGACACCAAGATATGTTTGGCCAACAATGAAACAGAAGAAACTATCTACACCGTCCTTTCTCCGGTTCCAAAGTCAAGATGAAGGCACCTATAATATACATGTACACATGTGAAAGTGAGACAAAGTAAGAAATATTCTGCAGTACTACCTTTCTGCAAAAAAGGTATAAAAAGCACAAACACAAAATTATTACCTGCATTCGCATCCTAAAACAGGACAAAAGTCTTCTTTTTCAAACCATGATATAACATGCTTCGAATGACCTCCGTGGCTGCACATCTGGAAATTCAAAAGTCCAACACGCATACAACACTTTTCTACAGGTCATCTGCACTAAGTCTACTAGGACAACAACAGTTTTCAAAAGCCAGGACACTGTTGATAATTTCTCCACTACTACTGTGTGATAGAATTTTACTTAAATAATCAGTGATTAACTGATTTTAATTGATCAAAGTAGAGACTACTGATACATTATCTGAGGTAAGTCTACGAGCTGAAAAAAAACATAACAGCCAAAACTCACCAAACATGTAGAAAACATCATCGCAAACGTTTTAGCTGGATGATCGTAGTCATTTACTGGCGTCCCGTACGATAGGCCACAAAGCGAGCAACGAGGATATGATTTTCGACACTTCGGACAGGCGCTGTCTGGTGGTCTCTTGATCTGTAAAAAAATCATTCTGTTCAAAGAATCCTGATGAATGGTAAGAGGCTAACTGATAGTTTGTTGATATAGGCAGAAAATGCGACCAACCTCGGCTTCAGTTCCTCCATCAACACCGTTGTAATCGTAAGATAATGATGACTCGGTGAATGTACCCGTGCTTGTGTCCGAGTTAGAAGGTGTTGCAGATAAAGAGATTGCGGTGTTGATCGAAGTTCCACTGACTGACGCTGATGACCTGCTGGCAGCAGTCCTGACCGTCGATCGCGACCTCACCTGGCTAACTTGTTCGGCTGATTCAGCATTGCAAACAGCTGTTTCATTACTTGTTCCGCAAAATGTACAAGATATATCCACCTATAATCTTAACCACAACTTATCGAGTTGATGAAGCAGCAAGAAGGAAACTCACGGATGTTTCGAAGTTAGGCCAGTACATGTGCGGAACTAGATTCAGCAATGCCCGGCGAAAACAGTATTTTTCCATTCGTTGCAAGATATATGAATACCTACAGAGTTCGGCACGAGCAAGATGTAAGAGTTTAGGCCTAGAAAAGCATTCCTTACATGGAATTCAGCTCAAGTTCGAGAGCACTTACATGTGGTCAGCGGCACCGATATAAGTGATGGGGAACATTGTATACAGCGATGGAACCATTTCTGGATCCATTTCTTTGGTAACTCCATCTCTAACACTGAGAGTCATGCTCTTAACAAATCCATGAATACCTAAGGGTAAAAAGCATATCTAGTAACAAGACTTTACTTTCTCAGGAGCGGGCTCGTCCTCTTCAAGGCACTGACCAGCCACCAAGAGGTGTGAAAAAACTTGACAGTCCTTTGTCACATATAGGTATCTGAGAATTACTTCTCATAAACGTAGACTGATAAGACTGCAGGCAATAAACAACAATACGGCAATAAGATCTCACTCTAAAAGAACCTGAAGGGAATCTGGATGCCTTCCAAGACCGACGAATTGTAGACGTTCCATGCCTCTGCTCTAAAAATACTTCATATAGGATGGAATGGAGAACGGTACCCAATGTCACCTGTTGGAAAAGGCGATACAACGCATCTTTCATCTTCAGAGTTGGTAGAAGATTCACACACCAAGTTAATCGCAGAGCAAGAGGTAATTTCTTCAGTTGAAGAGGGATTACTTGAGCGCACGAAGCCAAAGCTAGATTTACCTCGTCTTCGAGAACAATTTTTGTGAATTCTTCCGGATGCGTTGAAGTCAACTCCCCAAGGATAATCAGAAGCATTGGAATGATATAAGGATTGATAGATGAAGATCCTTCAGAACGCGAGGTAAAGACAAGCAGAGGAAAACATTAAAAAACAAATACCTGAGTGCTTTTTCACAAAAGCGTGGATTTTGTCCACTAAACGCAATCGTCTGGCTACATACTTTGGAGACGTTTTGATCTCAGCAACAGAGAACTGTTTCACGTATCTGGAGATATATATATATATATATATATCATGTCCTTCAAGAAAGTAATGAAAGAAAAAAGTCTTTCAATAAACAGAACCCTTTGAAATAAGGCTAAGGGCCGCATGCACTAACCTCCCCGCGGGGAGGGGATCGCAGCTTAAAAGAAAGCTTTATATTTCAAAACTCCAGATACCTGGATTTCACGTTGTGTACCTATCCGTAAGTATTCCTACTACCCTTCACTATGAACATGTTGAACAGGAGCGAGAAGCTGTACGAACCGCATTTTCCAGCTTTTGTATGATCCCTGAAGATCCCCGGCGCTTTTCTTTGAAATCATTTTTCTTTCTCCGATGTTAACGAAAAACCTCCAAAGTTGTGCAGATTATCTAAACCGACAGTGCTAAGCATGTTGCTGATAAGAACAAATGATGTTTTGAAGTCATGAAATTTTCGATGATCCACAGGTCGAAATTTGAGGTTTGCCGGAAAATTCGACTTTTTAAAAACTCATTTGTTCTCATCAGCAACATGCTTAGCACTGTTGTGTCAGATGTTCAGTACGACTTTGGAAGGTTTTCGTTAACTTCGGAGTAAGAAAAATGACTTTAAAGAAAAGCGCCGGGGATCATCAGGGATCATACAAAAGCTGGAAAATGCGGTTCGTGCAGCTTCTCGCTCCTGTTCAACATGTTCATAGTAAAGGGTAGTAGGAATACTTACGGATAGGTACATAACGTGAAATCCAGATATCTGGAGTTTCGAGATATAAAGCTTTCTTTTAAGCTGCGATCCCCTCCCCGCGGGGAGGTTAGTGCATGCGGCCCTAAGCTTCAATTCACCTCGAGACGACTGTGGTGAAAAAGTGGAAAGAACTCAAAAATGAGCAATCATCGGCTACTGGTTTCCCTAGTTTGCGACGAAGATATAATGTGTACTGCAATTGAGAATTTTGCAAATTTGAATAAAAAACAATGTATTACCTCGATGAACCGTATTGTATCGCCATTGATGAGGCACAGAAAAAGAACAGGCAATTGTTGTAGAATGTCTGTGCTTGCTGCGAATTTATCGTCCGATACTATACGATCTTCGCTGACAGGCAAACATAAGGAATCTAATAACATTCGTCGCACGCGTGATCGGGCAATCTGGAGGAAGAGTAGAATTTTCTTCACGAACCATGAACATAAAGATGGAATGACTATGTCTGCACAGCGCCATGAATTATGCAAAATTTCTCACTCCCACCTTGACAAATGTAAAATGAGTTGAATCACAATCATGCCAGCTCAGGTCAGACTCGGTTTCCAAAGTGCTCAACTGAAGAAGACCAGGCAAGCTGAAAGAAAAATGATCTCATATGACAAGGCTAAAAAAACTCGTAAGACGGACCCTTTTACATCTAATGATGTAGAGCAGATCTGCTCAAACTCTATGCCTGAGTTCCTGTCATTATCCGAAAGATCGTCGGCGTCGGAAGAAACGCTACTAGCTTCACCACCGTCGCGATTTTCTGGAAAGAAATGGAGTGATTTCAAAGCAGAACTAAAGGAATACACCCGGTGTTGGAGAAAGTGAAAGCAGGACTGAGTTTCACCTATATAAGATTGTTGTTTTCGAGCAGCGCTCAGCAACCATTGCATCCATCGGCATGGAATTTGCTCCGCCAGCCCCTGCAGAATGGCTGCAAGACACTTACTTTCATTCCACTAACATATGCGTAACCAAACGAACATATCAAAGGCCTCTCGATGTCAATTTTATCCATACCATTGCACAGGCGCAGATTCATTATTTTGTAAAGATGATAAGGGACAGACTGAAGTCAAGTACATTATAAACTATGGAACAAATTGCAACTGTTCTTCATCATACACCCACGTCAAAAGATTCCCACACTCGTGTTTCCTTCAACACGTCGCTGAACTCGGGTCTCACTGCAAACGCCTCATCAGGGGCCTTGAACTAAAAGCAATGTAATGAATGGCTATAGAGAACCCAATCCCTATTAAACCTCTGACCTATTGACTAGCATTTCAACTTACTGGAACAAATTCAAATCTTGCTCGGTTCTGCTGCGCTATTAGGCATAATAGTCCACTATATCCTACAGGAGCAAAGTCGAAAGAATATATTCTGTAGTGGAGCTAGAATATACTAGTATGAATAAGTTTCCAACCAGAATCTAGTGAAGCCTCTCTCAACAGGATGGGCGTGAAATGAGAAAGACTTTAGACGTCCTAATCAAAATGTAAATTATTTTTCAGACATGCTGACAAAGGAAATTCAAAGTAATCAAATGACTAAAGGTCTAAGAAGAAGCAAATTCAAAGATTCACAGAAAGGAAGAAAGTGGTTGGCATGCTCTAGCAACCGCAACATTTTATAGTGCAAAAAAGTCCAAACACACCTTGATTTCATGGCCACTATCAGCCTTATTGTTCGTCATTAATTTCTTCCTGATATTCAAATTGGATGCGGGAAACTCTGCTTTGGATTCACCGCTTACCTCTGGAAGTAGTGAATCACAACTGCAACCACATTTCGGATCATTTCAAAACTACTCCGATAGTGACTGCTATATCTGAAACGCAGCTGCGGCATGCAAACAAAACATGCAATTTCTGAGATGTCGTATGTCAAAACGCATCTATATAGGGTTTTGCGGAGTAGTCTATCGCAAAACTTGAGTTAAGGAGAAAAAACTGTTTTTTCATGACTGCTACGCCGGATGAACTTCTGGAACTGAATAAAATCACGAAAGCTCCTACCATCTTTCAAAGCAACATCAGCAATCTTCTGCACTTCAAGCAAATCCCCTCCTTGCCTGCCATTCAGATCTAGTCGGCTGAGCAAGAAGTTCAGCTTCATCGACTGCGTGCCGTGCCCATCTTCAGAATTATTGGAAATATAAGTCGTAATTTGCGAGGTTTGCCGATGGCCATCGCAGTTGGCAACGGTGGGAGTGTGATCCTCATAAGCGTCCCGTAAGGCAGATGACCCTAGTCTTTCCTCCAATTCAAGTATCTGTACACCAAAACCACCGACAGTCAAATTACATTCAAAAAGAAAGGTACGATTATACTTCACACTTACATGTTCGTTATCTGCATTGCAAGACTGTGCCGGTTCGACCAGGGCTGAGGAAGAAATAGACCACCCACAAGTACTTTCTGCGCGAACCCCTTCCATAGACTAAAACTTCTTCAGCTTAAACATTATTAGAAGACAATTTCAAATTAACCCACCTGTATAGAGATGTCTTTCAAATGTCGTTTCCGACGCCGATGCTTTGCTAATACCGGATTCGGAGTCTGGCTAAAAAATTTACCATTTTTATCTCTTCTTTACTTCGGCTTTCCACGTGGCAGATATTGCATATTTCGGCAGATTTTCTTGGCTACGCAGTTTTGCTTTACACCAATTTGTTTATACAAGATATGTGTGGTCTTGGAAAGAATCCGCACAACCTGATTTTCTCATGCCCTCGAACAAAACAAGAAACATGCGCAGCGTGAGACAGTTTCGGCGAGACGAGTTAGATAGTTTTACGGCAAAAGACATGAACGGCACATAACATACACTCGGCTCTCCAGGCACGTTTCCGAATGAGATCGACAAAGAAGAAAATCCTGTCCATCCCCTGAATGTCGTTCGCTCCTGTGTCTTCGCCTCGGAACCACTCCATCCATTTTCTACAAGGTCTAGTTGTCTAGCAGTTGAGCCAAGAAAGCAAAACTTAAAAGAACAGAACGAAAAAGCACGCTATAGAAGATTTTCTCACATTATTTTCTGTAAGTTTTGCTCCTTCCGGAAGTGGTGTACACCAACACAGCGGCATAGTTGTACCGGCGTTCTCCATACACTTATCGTATAGCTTCCCGTATGAAAGAATCGAATATGCGCTTCTAACATTTTTGTACCTGGAAGAAGCTTCCTTAGTTTACAATACCGATAATATAAAGCAAACTTACATGTTCATTCTTGCTTTCATGAGCTCAGAAGAGATAGGCTTCTCCCAAAGTTCCTCTATGGAAAAGATCTCTTCAGACGAAAAACTGGTACAGGCTATCCTCTTAAGTGTTAGAATTGAATTCTATGATGCAAAAGGCAAAGGCTTACTCGGAAAGGATCAGAGAACAATTCATCTATGTTGCATCTCAAAATCTTGTCAGAAGCGTGAATGTGAAGAAGGAGCTCATTTGGCACATAAGGGTTCCATTTCATAGATGATAAGCTATTCTCAACGTCCTAAATTGCAACTAAACGAAGTAGATGGTGCTGCAGAGTTAAACTCACTAATGATATCTGTATTCGTTGGATTGGGCCAAATAGTCGCCTACTATCGTATATTTGCACTTCGTCACCGTTAAAACCCGCAAATACATGAGTTCTAAATGAGATTCAACACGAAACACTCATGCGTAGTGATTGTTACCAAACAAGTCCTATTTCATTATTCTTCACCTGTATTTATTACTAGCCATATGAGTTATACCGTGATCCAGAAAGAGAGCTTGATCAGACCGACTTGGACACCGAATATCGAACAATCGGATGCTATCCGCAGTGGAAAGCAACAGCCTAGCGGGATGATCCCTAAATGAGGATATTGGGTGCTGCATACACTTAAATGCCCTTCGCTACATGGAAGCCCCGAATTTACAATGTCATCTTATCCAATTGAGCGTACCAGCATCAAGACAGGCACTGCACGGACATACATTGTCAATGAGTATGCTAGTCTATGGGGTCGGGCATACATCCCGCAATTCAATTCCATCGCCTCGCGATTTCCCCGACAAGATAACTGTTACGAGTCCATTGCATACCAATCATCTTGCATTTCGGTTGTGATAGTTTTCCGACTCGTTTAATCGCGAATAACTGTCACGACCCAGATGCAAGATTATCGGCATGCAATGGACTCGTAACGGTTGTCAGCTGATGAAATCGCGTGATGTATGCCCCCTTGTAGCTTGATGCAAAATTACTTCTCGCGCACCTTCCAACGCGATAAGATACAGCAATAGTGTGAGATATGTCTGCGAAAAAATCACAGCAAAGAGACACCTGTGGGAGCGTATCAAAAAAAACTTTGATAAAAGTCAAAAAAAAATTAGTCAATTTGCGAACAACAAAAGAAGAAGATCAACACCTACCACAACCAACATACATCCAGGATATTTGTACCACCAACAGCGTTGAATACAGTGCGAGGATGTTGCGAGATTCCATTCTGACTCACTAAGTCTAGAACGAACGCGGAGCTAGTTGCAGGAACAGATCTGAAACATAACTAGTCTCCCCGGCAGTTATGGACGTATGTAATGGCTACATCCCACCACAAAAGATTTCGAGGTGCGACAGATGTTGCGGTGGTGATCGAGTCTCCGCCACAGCAAAATACTCTAGCGCTAGTAACAGTGTAGGGTATGCGCACATGATAATAATATAATGCTATGAACATGCTTAATTTGGTCGCGAACGTATCAGGATGCAGGATCTAGAGAAACCTATAGTAACTTTTCGCGCTCAATATTCGCTCAATGAAAAACACAAGAGAAGCACGGATTCGGGTGCTTCTGAGTATGAGCAGCACTGAGATCCCTGTAGGACAAGTTTGTGGCTTCACCTATATGAACATCTAATGCATTTAGCGCCAAGGACCCTGGCAGGTGTGCTATCACGCGCTATCCATGATTCGCGAAAGAAATACAATCGATAACAAAAGCAAGTCTTCTCACTTACTGAAAACTTGTAACGGCTAGCAGTCCATTATCAAGCTGATTTGATTTCACCGTCAAAACAGGATCACTTGCTCTCCATACCTCTTGCACACTTAGCTCATATCTAAAACCCACTTGCAAGAAAATAAAGTAAGAAGTAGTGACGAAACTTGTTTGAAATATACTGCGAGTGTGAAGCTGTGCTTACTGACCTACCCGATACCGCTGTACATGAAGATTTTACAATGCTAACACGACCATCAAATGTACCATAGACCGAGAACGGCGTCCTTTCCACAACATCCCTGGCAGTGAGTCGATGTTTTGAATATCCATCGGTCAGATCTATACATTCCACTTCATAGGATGAATGACACGGCATACTAGGATGCATAATATGATGCAGCTGAAGTTGAGCAGATATAGATACTAACGCCAACTTTTGGTGAGACCAACCTCGACTCGACCTGTAGCATTTGCAGTAAATACCTCAATGACTCTTTCGCCTACATAACGAGCTTGAGGAGTTATGGGAAAGAACCTGGAATGAATCATGGTATTACAAAAAAAAACTCCAAGGATACTTACAATTTAGGTGGACATGAGAAGCACGAATTTGTCTGTTTCAAACCGCATCGCTGTACATTATAGAGTCCCATTCCGCAACCACTCCCACTAAAAAAATGCAGACTATGGAAAAATCACTTACTACCTAACATTTGTTGTACACTCAATGATGCGAAAGAGAAAATAGAATGCATTTGGGAGACCTACCAGCCAGTGATAGTGCAGCTACCACCATTCATATGACGATCTGTGCCAGCGCGATCTCTTCCAGATGCACATTGCCTGGTCGAATGCGGTCTCAAAAGCGCTATTCAGACTTTGCATGGTTAGACAGATGAATACCTAGATTTGCGATCTTGGAAAGCCGCTGCGATATCATCGTCATCGTCTTCGTCACTATCTTCCAGAGAGCTGACGTTATCTCGTCCTGCTGACGATCGCCAAGATCCGACCTTCCCCATATCCGAAAGAACCTGGACAGACTCTGGGACGTTCGTTGACAGTTCAATGAGACCTGAATAACTGCACTTAAAAATCTCCTCAGCTGCAAGTCGGAAACGTATACTGCAGCAGATGAAAAGCAGTAAGCTAGATATAGACTCGAAAAATTGAGCTTTTCCAGAAAATGCCGGAAAGGAAAAGACACAGACATACGCAAAAGGCTTTATACTGAGAAACATGTAAAAAATAGTCGTCTGATTGCCTTTAGTCCAAAGAGATCCATAACAGAGCACATCAATTGCAATCTAGACGTGAGCAGCAGCCGCGGGTGCGATCACACGCGCGGCGCAGTAACTCACTCAGACACTCGCACCGGCCGGCGACGGGTGGAGGACTATATGTCGCCGAAAAAGGGCGGTCCCCGCGGTCATTTGCGACAAATACGCACCCTTGTACATGCGCGGACATGCGTTCTTGCAGGAAATCCGCGCGGGACTCTTCTAAATTCGGCGACATATAGTCCTCCACCCGCCGGCGACCGTTCGACGACGGCCTTCCGGCCGGCGGCCGTTCCATTATTTAGGGCGGGGCCAAATGCCGGCCGGCCACCGGACGAGTAAATCACGCCGGCCGGCGTCCGTTCCACTGTGCAAAAGCTCGGAAAGCGCACAAGATTGCGCGTACAGTAAGAAAATAAATTCAAACATTGAGCGCGTTGTGACTTTTAAGCAGGAAGCTTTTCTTTATTGGTTTTCCTTTGCTATTGTTGGATTTTCCTTTTGGCTTGCATCACTTTCTATGTCCGAATTTGATATTTGATGTAACCCATTGTTATGATTCCGCTCATTTCACTCTCTTTTTTAGATTTGATCAAACTCCATAGTGTTCGTTATCTCTTCTTTCTATATTTCTGCTTAATTTGACTTGAATGGCGAAAAAGCCGAACGTCAGTGAGTTCATGCCTATTTGCTGTGACGTGATTTCTATGTGTCGCATCACCTTTTGGGTACGAATTAATGAAGTACAAACTAGACACAAGTTTTTCAGGAGACAGCTGCAATATGCATGGTGGTTCTGTTCTCGCTTTTCTGATGGAACTACAAATGGTTGACCGCTGTCGGTTTAACACTGTTATTGTGAAAACGACTATGGCTTCTTAAGAATGCTCCTTTATATATTCTCAGTTCGTCTATCTGGACTATTCCTGCCTTGCTGAGTACTCTAATTTCTCTAAAGATCATTGCTCTGTCGGTTCCTGCTACGCGGAGGACATAATTGGATGTGTCGGTCTATCTGATATTCTACCGCATTTCTCTAATCTAATGCTTACGGCTGAACGCACTCCAAAAGACGTAAGTTCTTCCTGACTACCGATTGAACCTAACTTTGTGGTATTTCAATTTCCACTTTTCGGGAGACAGCTGCAACTTACATTGTGTTCGGGTTCTTGCTTTTCTGATGGAACTACAGCGGTTTCTTGATTGCTGTCAGATTAAAAATGTTATTTGCGAGTATGGCTCCTATTGGATGCGCCATATATATTCCCAGTGCTTGGATTACTAGATTATTCGTGGTTGTCTGAACTTATCTGGGTGTCGTTGATGTGTCGGCTGCTACTATGTTGACAAGATATTTATGGGTTCGGAAGCCATCCAATAATCTGCCGCCAATCTTATGGCCACGGCTGCTGGACGCATTCCGAAAGGTGCAATTTCTTTTTGAATATCATTTGAAACTAGCCTTGCAGTGTTTTCAGAGACTGATACAATCCTCTGTTCTACCCGTCTGTACATGCTCATGTTTTTGGTGTTGCTTCGTTAGCAGGCACATTATCGCAACTCTATGCATGGCAAGGAAGTTCTACTTGTCAGTAAAAATTCTCAATAATTTGTTTCAATGCAGGTTTTCAAAAGCAGCTTATCATTGCTTATGTGTGACATTCAAAGTACAGAAAATGGAATTCTGTAATCTACCGACGCATTCGGAACGGATGTTCAACGATATGTGGACCGGTTTCGCCAAATGACCTTTCCGTATAGCTAAAAAAGTTCTAGCTTTGTAGCTTCAAATGTATTTCTCATGAATATGTGTTCAATATTCTTTTTGTCAATGTTTCTTTGCAATGCATCTTTTGATTACAATAAATATGTTGTTATGGATTTGTACCACCTTGCATAGAGATTACATGAACCTTCATGAACATGCCAGCTCGTACTGTACAAAGCTAGAATGTAGAGAAAGAAATGCTGTGACCCAATGCCAATTCGTTGCGCCATTGACGCATACCGGCCGGCGGCCGTACGGGTACCGGCTGGCGGCCGTTCGAGTACCGGCTGGCGGCCGGCTCGCGACCGTCCCGGCCGAAATGTCGGTGATGGACCGGCCGGTCGTGGAACGGCCGCCGGCCGGTGCGAGTGTCTGAGCACGCCGGTGAGAAACATTCTTCCTTTCCCCCTCTCGGCCAAAGCTGGGCAAAATCAAGGGAATTGAGCTGAATAGGTGCTATGAGTGCTGGTCAATGACGATTTTTTAAGGTCTTGGGGACTACTAACAGAAGGAAGTTGCATTGAGCTATCGGCCTCGAAATCGGATAGTGTGAAGATTTATGCAGATGGGTTTGTCACTTCGCTATTGTACGCTCAAAGAACATGAAATAGTTTAGTTTTCCATAATGTTCTCCCTTCTAAATAATACCGTCTTGATACCTACTGCCTTGATAGAGGATGAAAACTGACAGTTGCTTTACCCGACAAACGTGAGGGGACGAGGAGGGGAGAGCGTAAATAGATCTAACTCCTGAAAGACAATTTACTGCCTCTCTTTTTTCTTTCATTATGATGGAAAATCTCTACCAAACACGAGGATTCTGTACAGAGTCGGACGAAAATTTTTTGGTATGCTGTACTGCTAACGTGCTAACATGTGCTAATATGCTAACGCGTCCGTATTCGATAGAAAGTTGCACGGAACAACATGGTTTTTTATATAAGGGAGGGGAACGGAGACCCATGGGGAGCTGCTTCGAAGTAACTTACAACAACGCTTCGGTAAAAAACGTGTTTTTCCGTCGCTGAGACTATTCTAGTGAGATTTCGTCTTTTTTTTGACAAAGTACTTTACAGTCTGTGTCAATCTCCAATTCCCTTTTGCTGGTGGCACCGCTACGCGAGAGCCTTGTGCCGCGTTTGCGGACGCAGAGTGCGGGCGTTTAAATTGGCTTCATCCATCGGAAATCGCCACGTAAGGGCGTCACGTTGTAGATGCGTGTTCTTTACGGAAAAGGGAGTACTCCATTTACAAACTGTACCATGTTTTGTGCTCATCAGTATGCATATCAATGAAAAGTTGTGGGCAAGTAGTTGATAGTTGTGGGCACTTTCGGAGTGAAGATTATTTTTACAAGCGTGTTTTTATTTTCTGAAAAAAAAAATCAATTTTATGAGCCTTTGACAAATTCTTTAATAGAAATTTTTTGTAGTCTCATTCCTCTTCTATGTCGGCAGGATAAAATACTGCTGATTTGAATCAAATAATCTGCGAAGAAATATTAGTTATTTATACATGTATTGTTACACTTGTGGAATATCATACAATTGCCACTTTCTGAAACTGTTGCAGTTTTGGCAGCAAATATTTTCTTTTCTGTAATCAGCGATTATCCACAACTTCCTTCTGAGCACATTATGCCAAGCCTGTCACCAGCATGTGGCATGAGATCGTCTCCGACTTTGAATCTAAATAAAGTAGTCAACCCACTAAAATTTTTTGGTAGCAGAAAAACACACCTTATAAAACCGTCCCCTGCTAACTTAGCAGTCATATTTCTAGCAGCTTTCCAATGGCCGTCCTTCCATTGATATGTGCGAATAATCCAAGGCTTTGCTCCACAATCTTCACCGTCCACCTGAAGTTTGGGTACTCATTGTTCTCTGCTCATATTTACTCAATAGCATTAATACCTTGATCTTTTTGGTGGATTTTCCTCTGAAAATCATTGGCTGCGAACGAATACCTAGGGCTGGCACGGTCACTACAGCTTTGAACTGAAAAAAAAAGAAATTATACGGATGAAATTTAGCGAAGAAAATTTCAAAACTAACCTTCTTCTCAGTGTTTGAAGTCACTTTGACAACCATTTTGCAGTGGAAACTCAATGTAACAGCAATAATACAAAATAATAATGCAAGAAAGCGTATCAGTGCGGTCATAGTGTCCCGCAAAGCGCATCCAAAGCGAACGCGATCCTTTATATAACGAATGCCCTGATGAGGGAGATGACACAGTGATCTAGAAATTCGAAACAATAGGAGAAATCGCCGACATGAAATACTGAACTTATGGGCAAATGCATCATCTGTCGCAGGCGTGTTACGGGATGTTTTTTGACAATCACCGGCTCGGAGAATAAATCCGCGCGCCTAGGAGATATTTTTTGTCTTTTGCGATCGGAAGTTATGAAGGGATGGTAAGATCCACTGCAAAGAACTAACCCGTATGTAATCTTATTATGTCTTAGAATTGCCAATTTATGTCCATTAGTTGAAACTCCATTTTTTCTTTTCTGTTGAAAATTTTCTCTCTCTCTTTCATGTTATTTTTCTTTTTTTATTCCCCACTTTCTCATTCTCATTTTTTTCTTTTCATATTTTCGGATTTTTCATGGACTTCAGAGAGTAACAGTGCTGATACGAAAGCAGTTCAAGCTCGTCAATGGAGCAAGCTGAAAATTTTCCAAAAATGAACCGATTTTTTGAAAATCGAAAACTGGGTCTTTCTGGCATGTAAATATCGAAAAGCTTCCATGTGCTCTCTTCTTTGAAACTCAACATTCAGTTGACTTTGTGATTTTGATTTTGTGCCGGAGAGGTTTTTATGGTGGACCTTTATTGCCTAAAGTTTCGACCAAGTATCGTCGTCTTCGGAGGCCTGAAAGGGATTGCAGTTTTGTGTTCGTCAGTCTATACGACCAAACGCCTTCTCTAACTTGCGGCGTTTAGACCTCGTCTAGGTACAACGTACTGGAAAACAATCTGAAGTGGAGTCACCAACCTTCAGTCCACCCTGGAGTTAGTAGTCCGCACGACTGTGACGGACATCACTGAGGGGTGCCCATTGAGTCAAAGCTGTATATACAGTCTGCGGTTATAGACGACATAATGATATGAAGGGCAATAGGTCACTGGTCATTGTCAAGCACTCATTTTTTATTATTTATCCCCTGATTTCCGGCGGATATCCATGCTGCCTCTAATGTCTTTCTTGCCGAAATTTCCGTCTCATACGCTAATATCGTGCATTTTACATCACGTCATCTTTACGTGCCTCTTTATGTGTTTTCCCAATGGTGATGACAATGTACCCCTCCTTTTGCTGGCCAGTTCCTTCATTCTAATACTTAGTGTCCTTCCGGTCTCTCCTGCATAAGTTGTTCCACAACTTAAGCACTCTAGTTGGTAAACAATACCCTCCTCTGCACAACCACCTAACTTCCCGTATGGGCAAACGATGCAGTTTTCAGATATACAGTCTGTATCAAACAATCTATTTCTGATCAACCGCTTTTTAATAGTATTGCTAGGAATGTTGACCAGCATTACTTCGTTCTGTAACTGCGGCGTGCTATGCATCGTTTAATGGCCTCGCTAAATCTGTCGGATACAAAAGGCATGCAAAGGGGAATTCTGCTGTGGTTGCTTCCCATGGATTCGCTTACGTATCTAGATGGTTTTTGCCGTGATTGCGTTATGTATCCATTGCTGCGAGCAATCTTGCGTGTTAGTTGTAGTGACTCTAATCGTTCGCTCTCGCCCGTACAGATTTTTGCAGCGGTTTTGTACATGTTATGAATAACGGAACGCTTCAGAGCTGTTGAATGTGCTGACGTGGCGTGAACAAGGATGTTTTGGAGCTTTCCTTTCTGTACCAGATTCGAACTCATCAGTCAAATTTACCTGGGTGTTCAGAAAGGAAAGCCAGCCACTGTGCGGGGTTTCTCGTGTAAGCTTTATGTACTGGTGCTGCTGGTTCAATATTCTAAAACATTCGTCCATTGCGGACTGTGTTGATAACGCAGCAGTCGTCGATATAGCGACAGTACATTGATGGCAAGCGTGCTAATACTGGCTCCTCAATTTTACTCATAAAGCAAATCGCCAGGACTGGCGCGAGTCTTTGACCCATTGCAAGTCTTCTGATCTGGGAGTAGTAATTCCCAGACCACTTGAAAATATTACAACTCAAACAGGCTTTAATGAGGGTCAGTATGCACGTTTTGCTTAGCCCAAAGGTGACCGTGGTATTACACCATGGTCACCTTTGGGCTAAGCAAAACGTGCTTACCGACCCTCATCAAAGCATGTTTGAGTTGTGATATTTTCAAGTGGTCTGGGAATTACTACTCCCAGATCAGAAGACTTGCAATGGGTCAAAGACTCGCGCCAGTCCTGGCGATTTGCTTTATGAGTAAAATTGAGGAGCCAGTATTAGCACGCTTGCCATCAATGTACTGTCGCTATATCGACGACTGCTGCGTTATCACCTCAACACAGTCCGAAATGGACGAATGTTTTAGAATGTTGAACCAGCAGCACCAGTACATAAAGCTTACACGAGAAACCCCGCACAGTGGCTGGCTTTCCTTTCTGAACACCCAAGTAAATTTGACTGACGATAGGTTCGAATCAAGTGATACAGAAAGGAAAGCTCCATAAACATCCTTGTTCACGCCACGTCAGCATATTCAACAGCTCTGAAGCGTTCCGTTATTCATAACATGTACAAAACCGCTGCAGAAGTCTGTACGGGCGAGAGCGATTAGAGTCACTACAACTAGCACGCAAGATTGCTCGCAGCAATGGATACATAAAGCAATCACGGCAAAAACCATCTAGATATGTAAGCGAATCCATGGGAAGCAACCACAACAAAATTCCCCTTTGCATGCCTTTTGTATCCGACAGATCTAGCGAGGCCATTAAACGCCCATAACCCCAAAATTTCAAAAAAGGGGGCGTGGCTGAAGCCACGCCCCCGAAAAAATTTTTTTATAAGGCTAAATTAAATTTTTAAAAAATTTAAAAAATTATTTTAATTACTTACAAGTACAATTAAGCCTTTTGCACATTTTTATGACTCATGTAAGTGACTTTCAAAAATTTCGCGATTTCGGCGCGCGCCCGCCCCCCCGCCCCCCCCCCCCTCGGTATGCCACTGAGAGGAGGGTATTGTTTACCAACTAGAGTGCTTAATTTGTGGAACAACTTATACAGGAGAGATCGGAAGGAACTAAGTATTAGAATGAAGGAACATCTGGCCAGCAAAAGGAGGGGTACATTGTCATCACCATTGGGAAAACATAGAGTCGAGGCACATAAAGATGACGATTTTGATGTAAAATGCACGATATTAGCGTATGAGACGGAAATTTCGGCAAGAAAGACATTAGAGGCAGCATGGATATCCGCCGGAAATCCAGGGATGAATAATAAAAAATGAGTGCTTGACAATGACCAGTGACCTATTGCCCTTCATATCATTATGTCATCTATAACTGTTGTGTATAACTTGAGAACGGCTTGAGCGATTCCTCTACTATCCGAGAGGACAAACTGAGAAGTAGCGTACAGTCACAGCTATATATACCAAATGTGTTTACATCAACAAAGTCATTATTACTAACATATCATTCCTCAACACCTTATTCCTAAGACAAAACCATTTTGTCTTTCTTCATTAGATGTCTAAATGATGATGTCTCGCAGTCTGGGCCCGTAGTAATCCACCCTACCTGCCGGCATCTCATACCCTCAGCTCGCCCTGATGTGGACTTGAAGTCCCTAAAATCTCAAACTCCCTCCGGAGACCCCCAACCCAGGCTGATCATCTATTTTTTTTGTGCGGTCTAGTTTCTGCGCATTTGGTTGGCGTATTTTCTCCAGCGAAGGTTATCTTCAGTCTCGATGTCGTACAATACTTTTCCCAAGCGACTCTTCACCACAGCTGGGATCCAACGATCATGTTTCGAGCGGTATTGTGTTTCTGACCCATACGTGATCATTTGTTTCATACGACCTGGACCTTGCTCCATGATGACGGTTGAACTATTCCTCCATCTTGGTATCATGTTTTCCTACTTTCCTTGCAGATTTATCCAAATTCCATGAACTCCGCTCTGTCTTCAGAGGCATTTTTGCGGCTCCTTGACACTTGCGACAACGGCGGACGGTTTTTTCGATATCTTGATCGACGCTTTTCCAGTACACGTATCCTCTTGCAAGCATCCTCATCCGTGTAATTCCGGGATGTCCTTCGTGTAACTGCCTTAAGAAAGTCTGTCGAGGAGCAGTCGGAATAACTATCCTGTGGCCAAAGTATAAACATCCGTCTTGAAGTGACAGACTTCCGCTTAGTGCCTTCCATTTGGCAATTTCGCCTTTCGGTTTGGGTGGCCATGAGCCCTTTGTGTAGCTCTATGACCTGCGATATGAGTTCCTTCTGGGACCCTTCTACAATCGCACTTCTTGTCACGGGCAGCGCTTTTACAACAGTGCTTTGGACGGCACGCATGTCCTTTTCTATTTTCGCTACCACACGACAGTGATACTTATTCTTCAGTTTTTTATAAGCAGGCTGAATGCACCACTCCAATCTTAGTAGATTTGTTCCTTTAGTGACATAACATGTCCCCTCTCCAAGAATCGACTTTCCTGTCACACAGTCTTTGACGGAGAATTGAGTAGAGAATTTGCCGTCAATCTTCATCGGATTTCCATCGGCAGTTTTCACTGGCAGGATGTATGGTTCAGGGTTGGCGATCCTATTTTCTCCCAAGCTCGGCGTGATATCAATGTTATATCAGCGCCAGTGTCAAGTTGGATCCGTATGGGACATCCTTGAATAATGATGTCAAGTAGGTACTCGCGTTTTCGGCGCTAAACGCGGCGACCTTCTTGCACCGTCTCTTCTGATAACCATGAGTTTGAGTTACTGCTTCCTTTCGCTTCTTACGTTTAGTAGAGAGGAGGCGAGGGCATTCGCTTCTTTTGTGCGGTCCTGCACAGTTGAAGCACTTTATCTTCTTCTTCCACACAGCATGAATATCTCGAGCCCCTTCCATGTCTGTGTTTTTCATCTTCAATGCGGTGTAGTTTTCACACTCATTGACAAGATCTTCTATTGTCAGTGGTGTGTCCTCCGTGTGGTCCAGCCTGCGAATCACTCTCAGACGGACTTCCTTAAGCGAGGGGTCCTGAAGACCTGCTACGAACTGTAGCGTCTTCATTGCTGTATAATCCACTTCTTTGAATCTGGCGTCTTCGTCCAATCTCTTGATTGTGTTCGCGTACTCTAAAGGGTACGTAGGTTGACGTCAGTGCTGGACAAGTAATCCGGAGACACTCATATCGTCGGCGTACAAGTGTCTTCCTAGATGCGAATAGCTTTTGCTTTCTCTTCGAGATCAATCTCGCATGGTCTCAACGGAAGGACGTCATCGGCATATTTCCGATACGAATCCTCATCGAGTTTCATGAGGATCAAATCCCGCTTTCTACTATCTGGTAAAACAGCATCTTTTATAATTGGACCATACCTGTCCTGTCGTATGCGAATGTGTTCAGTGTCTTCGTCGAAGATAAACTTCTGAACTTCTTTGCTGAGTTGATCGTATTGATCCTTCCCAGCATCTTGGACGGCAGCATTCTGGCCTCTCGCAAGGCTGGTGAACAGTGCCATCATCTCTTCGTGTTGGAGACGCAACTGTCCTGCCATCATTCCCATGATCTTCTCTAGCTGCGAGTCTTGGCCATGCTTTTCTTCTGTCACTCTCGGCATAGTTGGTTCCCTGATAAGAGTTTCTCACTCTTTGTGGATCGGTTATAGCTTCTACTGGAAGTAATAAATTATCTGAAGAAGCTCTGGTGGCGTATTTGCGGCTCTTCCTTGTCCTTGATCCTGACAGTCCTTGACGGTGATCCTTTCTGTGGCGTAGAGTTCCTCCTTGTCCTTGACTTGTGGAAGGATTCTTGTCGCCTTACTGTGGAGAGCTTCCTCTTCTTTGATCGATGAGCCGGTCTTCTTTGCTTGATCCTGATCGCCACTGTTGTGGCTTGAGAACGGCTTGAGTGATTCCTTTACTATCCGAGAGGACAAACTGAGAAGTACCATACAGTCACAGATATATATACCAAATGTGTTTACATCAACAAAGTCATTATCACTAACATATCATTCCTCAACAATAACCGCAGACTGTATGTACAGTTTTGGCTCACTGAGCACCCCTCAGTGATGTCCGTCACAGTCGTGCGGACTACTAACTCTAGGGTGGACTGAAGGTTGGTGACTCCACTTCACATTGTTTTCCAGTACGTTGTACCTAGACGAGGTCTAAACGCTGCAAGTTAGAGAAGGCGTTTGCTCGTATAGACTGACGAATACAAAATTACAATCCCTTTCAGGCCTCCGAAGACGACGATACTGGTCAAAACGTTAGGCAATAAAGGTCCACCATAAAACCCTCTCCGGCACAAAATCAAAATTACAATATCGAAAAGCTTTTATTTTCCTTGCCTTTCGAAACTGGAAAGACCTCTTGAGAAAGCTATAAAGATTATTTATTGGAAGAAAAACTCATGATACGACCTAATATGATCACTTATGCTTATATGGACAACTTTTGACAACACGTCCAAAGCTTCTCAAATCTTCATATTATTTGAGAAGTCGTTTCAAGCATGTCTTGCTTGACTATTTTGGCAAGTAAATACAAACACTAAAAAAACCTTAGCTTGCTGTGTGCTTTCTCCCACATATCCTCATTGATGGCAAACCAACAGGACCCTAATTTTCAAGAAATTTCAAAAAAAATGCATAAGACGTGCAAAATGTTTTTTCGGGCGTAGTTGCCTACTGTTCTCAAAAGTTTCGGGTCATAAGAGAACGAAGATTTTAAAAAGCACCTCGAATTCATTTCGAAGGGCGTGACCGTCGGTGTCGCCCCCCTTCCATCCCTCCATCCCGCAAATTTTTTTTCGGACAGCCACTGATCCTCAAAACAATAAAACTTTGTAATAAGGGTTGAAGTGTTCAGTTAAATCTTGAGAAAAAGTGGTTCCTTTTTGGTCAACTGCTTATGCTGTCTGTCGAGTAACTTTGTTTTTGTTTTTTCAGCTAAAACCTTGTTTTCAATCACATACTTTACTCAGCATATAAACAAAACAAACAACAGAAAAGATTTGTTACAACATGTAACAAATAGTTTCCATATGCCACTACTCAATAATGCGTAATATTGAGCACATAGTAACACATCAGCAAGGTTAACAATATCTTAGAATTTATATACGGTCCCATATTTGCTTTTGAACACATCACCCGCATTTAATGTGTCTGGAAGCTTGAGAGGTGTGATTCGTTTATAAAAGATCAGCCAGAGTAAGGCACCGATCCCGCTCAGGATTATTTCGATTCCCCAGGCTGGTCTTGGACCGTGTGAAGTGAAGAGGTTTCTGAAATAGAGATTTGCTATCAAGGAAAATTCTTTCGTTGTTGTGCACATTATCAAAACCCGGATAATTTTGTGCAAGAATAAATGAAGAGACTTTCAAAGCTCTTGAAGTCTTTTTTGATTCTTTCAATACCTCCAAATGATCTGAAATTCCTCTAATATAAAAATTCTTCATTTTACGGGCAATGAAATTATAATAATTACTCTTGTGGTATAAGAGGAACAGCAGATAGTTTATTGCCAAACAACTCATGGAGAATAGACGCAGGAACTGTGATGTCACTTTCTCACTGTTTTTGTCTCGTTCATCAGGCTGCGTCTAGAGTTATTCTCGACAGCGCAGGCCCTGGCACCGCGCTGGAACGGCCTTGGCACTGCGCCGGCACAACGCTGGACGCTTGTTGCAAACAGGTTGGTCGCACTTTCAATCTCCCAACAGATCCCGATAAAACGCCTCCTCCCCTCCCCCGCTACGTGCATCAAGTGACTCTTTGTGAAAATGGGAAAATGCGCAGAAAGGAAACTTACGCCACAAAAATGGGACCAAGCATTCGCGCAATGCTACCGCTCAGCAAGAGAACTCCTTGCATGGTGCCCTAAAAGTGACTGAATTGAATACGACTTAAGAAATTTACGTCTGCCTACCTGACTCCTTGGTCCAAGTATCGTAGAGAATATCGTGTTCATACTGACATTGATCAGTGAGAAGGCCGGTCCTACGATGAAAACGTAAGCGACTACGAAAAGTATAGGATTGATAGGTGGAGTATACGCACACCTAAGCAGAAATTGTTTTTATCGTCGTCGTTTTGTTTCCTGGGCAAGATTAGCACAGAGTTACTCTTAATATGACCTATATGAAATAATACAACGTTTTCCAACTTGCACAAGGATATTTAGGTAAAAATTCTATTTACCAGTCAAATGAGGTCTTACACCCAACAGGATCTGGATCGCGAATCATTGTTCCATTGATTTCGATATCTGAAAATGACTGAGTAATTTTCATCACACCGCTCGGTCTCTCCATTTTCGATTGCATATTTTGAATCCAAAATGATAAGACTAGGTGGCTCAGAAAAAAGTGGCATCAGCTGAACGGGCACTTTCATGCCGCCTCGAATTTAAGATTTTTCGCTATCGTTGAGTCACAAGATGCCGCCTAAGTGAGCGGAGACACTTGACTCTCCGCCCTCTAGGCGCATCAGCCAATCGGTTTTTGAAGAGCTGACCGGCAACCACGCCCATTTCGCACTTTCTTGCGGCTAAAAAAGATTTTGGAAGTTTTGCAGGCTATAGTGCAATATCGGTAAAAAAATATAATCAATAATTTCAATAATTATTCAAAGCAGATGAGAATAGGAAAGTAGTGTCCTTCGCAACGCAGTAGAACTAACATTCTTGCTGATAAGGTGTTGATCCAGGAAGTCCCCACCATGGGAATGTTAACATATGAAACACCACCAAGGCAAACAACCCAACGGAGACTCCGATACGATGATCTAGCCTAAAAAGGCCAAAGTTATATTTGTCACAGAAAGATCGAATATCAGCTTACACTTTTCCAAAGTCGTAAAAAACACTGATAGCATACATAATAAATCCTACGAAGCCGAATCCACCGTGCATGAGCGACATATACTGAACTGTTTCTTGTTTGTTCCAACTGAACATTGTCATTGCCAGTGGTGCTCCAAGTCTAAAGCAACTAATTTTGTTGAGATATCACGAAAGTATTGAACTAATAGAATTATTATGCGTCAAAAATCATCTTCAACTTCATATTACTACGGTAATTGTTGCTTATGCTGTAAACTGTTATTATCAAACCTTCTTTTTCAACATCTTGTCTTAGCCAACAATTTTTTCAATCAAAAATTGGCGCTTACGTTTCAAGGTTAGTGATGACGAACATTTGTGCAAATCGCGTAAATATGCAAATCATGACAGCGATAGTATCATATCGTGGTAGAGCGTAGAATCTCTGGTGCTCTTCTGCAATTGACACATCAATTTTCTGACACACACTAGACTACTTAAAAATGCTAATCAGCACATACCATTCTCTGTAAAGACTGCCTTTTGTAATCCTATATTTGATTCGCGAAATAAAAACACCACCAGGCATGCACAGATCAGATTTGCAAGGATACCCATAAAAGCTGGTGCTGTAAAATCTTGTTTGTTTCAATTTCGCAGTCGGAATCAAATGGAAATGAAAATTGCTTACACTCGCCTCAGCTATAGGATTGTTTACTTATCGCTTTATCGCGACTTTTATCGCTCAATCTCTCCGAACGCTCACTAATCTCTACACGGAGGTAGAGAAAATTTCAGAAAATGTGAGAAAGAAGGTATAGATTCAGACTTCCTCGCGAGAAATAGTATTTGCTTACCGGTATACATGTCCAGAAAAAGACTGCCAGCAATTTTGTGTCCGGGGTAGCCAAGAGGTGAAAAAATGATCTGTATTCCTGAATATTATCATAAACTGCAAAGTCATTCATAGTACACTTTGTTTTCGGCCCGTACGCCCAAACTCTTAGGGAAGCATGCATCAACATCCCCGCCGGAGTGGGGATCGCAGCTTTAAATAAAACTTCATATCCTGAAGCACTAGATATCTGGATTTTACGTTGTCTACCTATCCGCAGGTATTCCTACTATACTTCACTGTAAACATAGTAAATAGGAGCGAGAAGCTGTAAACCTGCATTATCTCGCTTTTTGTATGATCCCCTAATGATCCCCGGTGCCCGAGCGTCTTTTCTGCAAAGTCATTTTTCCTTCTTCAAAGTCAATGAAAATGTGTCAAGATTTCACTGTTTATCAAATCAAATACTAAGCATGATTTTGATAAGAACAAATGATATGTCGAAGTCATGAAAATCGCAATGGACCACAACTCGAAAGTTGGGGTCTATCGAAAATTTCGACATTTTAGTAACTCAATTGTTCTTATGAGCAACACGCTTAGAGCCTCTATGTTGGATGATCGGTACGACTTGGTAGTGTTTTCACTGACTATGAAGAAAGAATAATCGAATAAAAGACGGTCGGGCGCGGGGAATAACAGGGGATCATACAAAAAGCTGAAAAATGCGGCTTGTGCAGCTTCTCGCTCCTGTTCAATATGGTCATAGTGATGAGTAGTAGAAGTATTTACTGATGGATAGACAGCGTGAAAACGGATATCTGGAGCTTCAGGATTTGAAGCTTTCTTATAGGCTGCGATCCCCTCCCTAGCGGGTATGTTAGTGCATGCAGCCCTTAGGGGATGCTGCTTTTCCCGACGGGAACCTGGTGTGACTTTTATGCTGTCCTCCCTCCTGAACCTCTGAACGCATTTAGAAATTTAATCAAAGAAGTGAGGAGAGCGGGGGGGGGGGGAAGAGATAAAGGAAGGATCCATTTTTATGGTTATTGCATATTTTAAGGTTTCTGAGTGCCGTCTTGACATGATATCACAAAAAAAACTTTTTCTCATCCTGTGGCCTCGCAGTATTGTTCGCCACTGGTATCATTCCATTATAAGAATTTCCCAAAGCTTCCACATTTTCCCACGAAGTTGTTTGTGCTTACGGGCTCTCATTTTGAAAAAATTCGAACCTGGTCCTATTGTGAGCCCCAGAGCGAAAGATCCTGAATTCAGCGAAATTGCGCGCGAGCGATCATGAACTGTGCTTGCGGACACGGCGTGCGTGCGAAGTACCGTAACCACACCTGAATTTTTAAAATTATCGTAGGAAATAGCAGTAGAAAGAAGTTCCAGAAACAAAAGCGATCATCAATAAACCTTGACCAAGTTTACTTTCGATAAAGGTCCAATGATTTTTGTTCAACATCGACAGAAAAGTATGACTTACCAGCTCCAAGCCCAGTTACGAATCGTGAAACAAACATAACCCACTTTGGAGATAAAGAGGAAATACCACAGAATAGATATATAACGTTTCCAAGGAACATTATAGAGAGTCTGCAAGGATATATAGATTTGCTAAATGTTACCAATAATTTTGGTTACAAAACTGTGCAATTGAATTGTTTTTACTTGTTAAAAATTCAATATTTTTCAAATTATTTTGAAGATTCAAATTAGCTTTGCAAAACATTCTCCAGAGACGTAGCTGCTGTCACTTCTTCTCCCCTTTCCCCTCCTAGTTTTCATTTTTCAGCTTTACGTCGAGTTCCCTCACATTCATGTGCGCACAAAATTTGGTGTCATATCATTACGATTGTGTAAGCAGGAGAATGTTTCAATACAATTTTGAATTCTCGAGCTGCGAGTGACTGTGTTAGCACATGCAAAGTATGGTCCTCTTCAAATGTTCAAACCGGTAAGGATATTCGGATGGACAATTTGTAACTAGGATTGTATTCTTTTTCTTTGCGATTCTTTTTTTTTTTTGAAGCTTCGCATCTCTCCACGTAAAAAAGATAGTTCCTCTGCTTTTCCTCCAAAATGATATCCATCTTCTCCCAATCTTAGCTATGCCGCGCCCCGAGGACAGCTTTCGAGAATGCTTAATATTTGTTTGCAGTGAGTATTAAAACAAGTAAGCTCCAACTGATTTACGAGACTACTATGGAAAACTCCTTCTATGCACTATGTTTTTAAGAGACAAGTTTAGTTTCTGTTTGCTGTAATGCCAGCATTGAGTTTAACTTTGAGTTTTACATTATTCTTTATTCGAAGCTTATCTTGAAATTTTTGTTGGAAAACAGCAATAAATCGCAATTCATGCACGACAGACAATACTGTCAACGAATGCCTGGACAGCGATAAGGCCATGTTCAAATAAACAATATACCAAATTTTCTGAGTAACATAACGATTTTTTGAAGTGGTTTTTTGTTGCGTAAAACTAGTAACATCACTTCAAAACAAGGTTTTGAGTGTCTTTTTATTGCAGGCAATAACTTTCAAAGAACTTCGCACTTTGTTTTGTTTTTTTTTCGGTTTATTTTCGTCCGAATTCTCTAGTATGAAGACATAAAAGCAGTTGTAGAAAGATATTAAGACGCTTCGAAGTTTTGCAGTAATTTTTCTCCACTCTTTCCAGGAAATTAAGCTTCTCTAGAAATCAATGTGAACACATTCAAACACAACAGCGAAAGTGTTGCTATAAGCATGGCAGATAAATTGAGCTAAAATTAGGAACAAAGCCTGCCGTAACGCATATTTCCCCTTCAAATTGAACAATTTTTCTCTTTTTTTTGGATTTTGGCAGTTAATGAACATATTGTGCGAAAAAGAAGAGAATACTCACCCTATTATTATTGGTATTCTGCTTTGTCCCATTCGGTTTTGCAGATAACCAAAGCCCACACACATCACTGCTTGAGCAAGACTGTACACTGCAGTAATCCATCCAAAGAAGGCCTCCGATGCTTTTGGATCTAACTGTATAAAATTATAAAGGCTGACTTCTACAAAAGCTTCCATACACGTGAGATATTATTCGAAAGTCACTGGCTACTTTTCGAGCAGTTGATGACCTTCTCTTGATTTCTTTCAAAATCAGAAATTTGCACGATTATGATAAATTAAGCTCTTTATCTAAACTGAAGTGGTACAAACAGGGCTCGGCACGATCTGGCACCAGGGAAATTTCAAAACGAAGTCCCCTTGATCTTGAAACTTTTGTAAAAAGTCCCCTTTGGCCTTAGACCCTAAACGTAAAAGACCATCAAAAAACGAAGCGCCGACTAAAGAACGTCGCAATTTTTGTGTCTATTCGGTATGAAAAACGATCCCCTTTGCTTTTGTCCCAAAAACAATATCCAGCTTGAATCGGTGCCAGCTTTGTCGAGTCCTAAGCACAAAAATTGGCTTAAAAGATCTTCATACTTATCTGCTCTTACAAAGAAACGAGATAGATTGCATTGCAGAAATCATTAATCAATAGTTATAAATTTCCCCATTTTTGTCAATGTTAATATCTTACCTGCGTGAGATAAGGCCATAATGATGAGAAATAAATAGTGTTCTGAATTGCAGCAAAGAGAGCGATGACACTCGCTACAATACATGAAATCCAATCCGTAGTAGGTTCTTCGTCTTTTTCCAAACTTCCCGCGACTGTTGAGCTGCAAATAATTTAGAGATCATCCCCTCAAAGTGGCCAAAGATTTTATGTATCCGGTGAGCATGTCTTAGCTCACTGAGTCCAGTTATCAAACTAATTGATCTTGCCGGAAATCACATGAAAGCTCGGATGAGTTGTCTAAATAATGGAACAGAGCAAGATCAGTCAGAGCACTTACCACTGAGAATCCACAGTCTTGAGTTTCATGACGTTTCACTGAGCAGATGAGTGCAGTTTGCTATCGGTACTATACTCCTATTGCCTTTTTTTTCTGCTCTCCATGAACATTTGCCTAATCGCTTGCGGTTACTGCGACAGCCATCGTTGATGCGACATATCAACACGTGTTTGGCATGTCATCAAAGTTCTGTGACCGTAGATCTGTTCGAGACGACATACGGACGAGTTGCTTTGGAATTATGATATAACCTTGCATAAGCTAGGTTCTGCTTTAGGACTTCGGACACTGTATGTGGACGGTAGTGTGTTACTGTGCAGCAGCACAACTGCATCACTTTATAAGAGGGAGGTGGTGTGTAGCAAAAATAAAACGGATACAGAAATACTTCCGCTGGTCCTCACCCGATATGCATTAGTACCTGGAAAAGGAGCAGTGTTCGACTTGGAGTCCAATGGCGGTAATCTCATACCTAACTTACATAGCAACTAGGTTTGGCCGTGTGCGGCGCCATTGAGATTGGAGGAGTTACCCACAATGCAGATTCGTAAATCTTGGATGCTAGCAATGTATCTGTGCTAACTTCTATAATCGTGGTGGACATGGATGCACAATTGTGAAAGGATATGCTTGCCTGTACAACCATCCGGCTTTCCGCCGTAGCTCCCGCTCAAAGCCCGGCCAATCACAGTCGTTGGCGACCAATCAGAGGCGCGCCGTTATGCGAAAAGGCCGTTCACCTTTTGAAAGGTATGTGAATGTGATGCAAGACAAAGTGAGCATAAAGTTAGCCAAGGTTTCAACTTGATTGATTTCACTGCAGCGAAAAAAGGAGACTGGTAATTTATTCTCTAGTGCAAGACAAAGCTCAAGTCAACTTTTTATCATATTATCGTAAACCGTGAGTGGGAAACATCGCTCAAAGAGAATCTCAAAATAAAAGTCTGCGTAGAGGATATACACCTCCATTTGCTAGAAATCACCAAACTATCTGGTAGAAAGGAACATTTTCTCTAATTTCGCAAACTATCACTATCAACATGTCAATTTTTTATCGCTAGATGTACAACACGCACACTGAAAAATTGAGTGGTGTTTGATCCACTAGCTGGAGTTTTTCTCCTGCTAACTGCTTGATTCAAGGGCCATAAGTCATTTGATACAACAGTCGAAGAACTCAACACGGAAAAACAGTACCGACAAACCTACTTCCTCTCATTTTTACCGGTTAGCTGTTGCTGCCGATAGCTCAACAAAGTCTGGAAAATATATTATTTAAACGACCGACTTTGGTAAACTGCGTTGTTTTGGTCATCTGCTAGCAAGGACACTTCAACGACTAGAAATTGCTTATGTTCTTCAGACCCTATCATCCTTCAGGTACCCCAGAAATTGCGGATCAGTCAATATGCAAGTAAAAACAAAAGTATGGAAGTTCGGAGCTGGTCGAACTTCACACATTTATCTCACTTTAGGTATGGTATAAAAATTATTAGGTTGCATATCAAAGCAACCAGGTATTGAAATAAGGCTTCACAGAAACATACAACCAACCTTAGAGCCTGACCTGGTAAAGATCAAATAAAAAGATAGAGAGATCAAAAGTAGTAGAGCCTAACTAAGTGTTAAACGCGGGCGTTTAACACTTAGTTAGGCATTTTTAGAAAAGATATCTTACAATTAGTTATAGGCTAATATGAGGATCTGGCTTTGGATACACTCGCTCAATCATCGCAATAAAAGCTGTGACGATATGCTAAAATCATTTCAACAAGAATAGTTATTTTATGCCGGGATGCAGGCAGAAAAGTATTCTCCAATGCAATTTATAATTTTGTTCAAATCTTTTTAAGCAAATAAGGCTAGCAAGAAGAAATGACATATACATACATAGTTTCCAATAATGATAGAAAGTTTGTACTTCTATTCGTCAGCTGTAAAAAGTTCCGCAAAATTGCGCTCGTAGATGAAACTCGTCCAAGAGCATCTAGGATGCAACAAGTGCGTGCGTTCTCCTTTCTTCTGTTCAAAAGCTAGCATTCAACATTGCATATTTTTGGCAAGCGAAGCTTATTTGAACTGCAAGCTATCCTTATTATAGCTAATTGAAATCACTTTCATATATCTTAATCACAGTAAGTTCTACAATTCTGAGGATATAGTATCCCAGGTCATGTTTTGAATAGTTCAGGCCTCTGACGACGATGAACCTGTAGGAAGGTCAGGCCGATCAAGCTTGCCATCATAACAATCCTGCATATTGCAGCAGACTGAAGCCAGAAACAATGGCTTTTGTTACGTCTGTTACTGCTTTCTAGGCAATGCCAAAGTTGCCAGAAAAGGAAATGAACCTAGAGGTTTTACATTCTCTTCAGTCCGCTACACCCACCCACACATCGGTAAATTCAAGGCGGCTCTTCACCCTCTTTTTTGTTCTCACAGTCTATCAACATTGATTCTAAGCGTTTTTGATTTGAGCATGTCGAACTAATTTATGAGTGAACAGGTACGACTTGGGGCCAATGCAACATCCGAGAGAAGACAAATCGTGCAGCGGTGCGATGAGAGGCGACCTGAAAGCGTGGCGAAGTCGATAAGAGTCTCGAAATGTTCCACGTAGAACCCGAGGGGCAAAACGGCCTCGACTCACGGACGAGTGTTCGCTGATTGATGACGATTATCTGTGGATAGGTCGCAACTCGTTCTCAGCTCTACCGCCCAATGCTCTCACCTGTGCCTCTGCCTTGACTCACCACTATTCGAGCCATGCTTCCTAAGGAGACGACACATTCGAACCGAGCACAACCTCTTGATGTTGAAGCTCTGCCATCACTCTGCGCTAAGGATGACCAACTGTCTGAGGCAAGTAACCAATTCTTTCTCTTACTGTCATTCCCTCTTTATTAATAATCAATAATAATCAAAACTTGCCAACAGTTTTTGATAAAGCTGCAACGTTCCGACGAGCAGGTGACTCTGTGTAAAAACAAACTTTTCTCCTTGTGAATTCATAAATTGTTTAAAACAGTATTATTCATCTTTTATAACTCATTCTTGATGATTACACTTCATCATTGTCCTTGCTTGATACTTCACAGTGCATTAATTTTTTTCATGATTCCTCTTCCTCCTGCATGTCTTCAGTTTTGAGAAAGGATTTGTTACAATGACTTGCAGAAACAAGCATATATAAATGAAAGTGTATTTGATAGCAATTATGAGATTGGTCTAAAACTAACCACAAAAATTATTACCAAGCAATCTTGAATAATAACTCAATTCAGTGAAAAAATGGGACATTTCAACCTAAATAGTAAGTACCATCAGAAAGCGTGCTAAAAATGTTTTAAGCACTTTTGAACTCTTAGACTCTTTTTGAGAGATATATCTTTTAGTTACGACATGAAACCAGATGAAACCATCATTTTCTCAAAAAATTTGTAAGGTCAAAATTACGAAACATTTAGAATTGTTCTCGATAAAAATGTGATGTTTTGTGCAATTTGAAATGAATGCGGTGGTCAAATTCGGATAATCACGGTTGCTTTAAAAATGTGTTAAAAATCTGGCACTCTTGTGATTGAACTAATTAAACTACGGCTAAAACTTCATTCTTGTTTACTAATTTGCTGATTAGTTACTAACTACTGTATCTGTGCCCTTAAATACTAGTAGGAGAAATGAAAGTTCAAGAAAGTGCTCTTCCAAGAAGGGCAAAAAGTGTTGAGAGTTTTTTTGTGACGAAACAAAAACTTTCAAGAGTGTTTCATATTATGAGATATGGGCTCAATGCAGCTAAGAAAACTTCTTAGGCACTGCATGTTTCTAGTCACATATATGTCAAAACAATTTTTTCCTCTCGGTTTCGATCTGTAGTGCTCAGAAGTGAATGTCAATTTCTGTTCGGACCATTGTTTGTTCTCTCATCTCAAATTTGACATTCATTGAGATAGTTGCGTTACTCTTGGTTTTTGTCTGTCGAGTCGTTTAATAGCAGCTAGGTTTTCAAATTCAGCCGCAGGAAATCGAACCGACAAGGATCGAGTTTCTCTTGTTGGTAATGGACCTATGTAAAAATTGTGCCCTTCATTCATAATCGCCGTTTAAATGCAAGCAGAAACGAAGGGAGCTATCGTGTTTTTTGGTAAATTAAGAGCTATTAACTTGTCAGAATGTTGTATAAGATCAGCCGTGGAGATTTCTTGCCTTGTCATCGGTGGTACTATCATAAGAGGAACAAGGAGCTGGCTTAAAATTATTTCCAAAGTTGAAACTAACTGCTTTTGAAATTAGGCTTGAGGCAATCGCTAAACTTATTTATCATAAGATAAGTGAAAATCTAGCATTGCTTTTTTAGAGAAGAATATTGTTCTTGTCACGCTACCGAAAAAATTCGTATATTATTGTATATTATATATTATAGTATATTTGAGTAAATTGGAAATGTTGTCTCATCCACAATCATAAAAACCACAATTCGAATGCTGATTTACAAAGATTGTCTACAAATTTCTTTTGATAGAGTTATAACATTCTAGCGGTTTTGCCATGATAAGGGTTTTCTCTAAGAATCTATTAAAATCCGCTTTTTACCCAATGGTTAGGAATGCAAGTTCAGGGGACTATAGCTCCCCGAATTTTTATGACTTTTTTCGGTAACGTGACAAGAACAATATTCTTCTTTCAAAAAGCAATGCTAGATTTTCACTTATCTTATGATGAATTAAAAATGCTGAACTTTCTAACGCAAACGCGATGTATTCTAAAAGTACTGCAGCTCTAGTTTGAACGCAGCTTGCGTTAGATTCTCTAATTAAGCACTTTGATATAGTTGCTTGTTTGACAAGTAATTTCCAACAAGTTTTAAAAAGCTTTCAAAAATTCCAAATTTCGAAGAATGTATCACACATGTGAGGAGCTTCACTTCTTATATACCTAGCCCTATGTTTTATTTAGAGCTCCGAGGTCCTATTGACGGGTTGTGCTCCCGAGAAAACTACGCAAAAATACTTTTCTTTCATTGTCTGTG